CCTTCTCTATACCTTTTCTATAAATCCACACTTTAGTGCCGCAAACTCTTCTCGATTGTCTCACTCTCGAGCTCCGTTCTAATCGGCAGCTCTGATTGGTCAAGACGTGCCGTGCACAGAGCACGTGCACGAGAGCCACACACATGTTTTTGCCGCAAAGCATCATTTCCAGGAGGAAATTACCAAATATGGGCGAGTTCCGCTAATCTTTCTGTGCCAATGCTGGCACAGGCGCTACTGAGCACAAGTCATTGATTTGTGCCCGCCGGATCATCTTGGATCGCCGGGGCTCGGTGTGTACGCATGTGTGTGTATACTCAATAATATATGTGGTTTGGGGTGGGTCTGCTGGGTGGCTGGGTTACAGGTCATGGGTTTGTTTTTAACTAAATTGTAAAGCACTTTGTGTTACAATTTATGAATAAATAAAATTTGATAGATTGACTAAACTAAGTGTGTTGCTATGACAACTACTTAATCTTCTTTGGGAGTAAACCGAGCTGACTCAGCTCAGAACCAGTCCAGGACCAGTTCCTTTGAGAAAAGGGCTCAAACTGCCATAGAATGTTGCTTGACCTAAATTGGAGTTAAAAGTAGAACTACGGTACTCACATCAAAAAGATAAGTTATTTAACAGAATAGAATGTAGATACAAACTTACAAAGTTGTGAGGACCTAAAAGGTACACACCAAGTCATTACACTTAAAAGCTTTAAATTGACTTTATGTGTGTCCGTGCGTGTTTGTTGAAAAAATAGGGATGGATTTGAGTGTGTGCCTGAATACAAGTTCTGAACAACTTGACTTGACCTTCAGACTGGGCAATGTGGTAAGTCATCAAGAGTCTGACCACAATATGAGAAAGCCTCATTTAAGTTAAATAAGAATGGTTTGTGGCTCCTGTTGGTACACAGGGTACACTAAGTAGCACCTTTGTCTTTAATTAATTCCCAAAAGCCTTTTGTTTTCGTCTCACTGGTTGAAAGTGGGTGAATGTTCAGAACTGACAACAATAACAACTTGACAATGTGCGGCACAACAGTGATTATCAGCAGCGGTGACGAGGGTGAGGGCCCCAAGGGAGCGCTTCACAAAACATGTTTGTCTCCAACTCTGTAATTGATTTCATGTACTGTATGTAATCTTAGTTTGAGTTGTTAAACTTCGATTACGTACATGAAATCATATTTTGGCTTTCAATGAATTGTTTTTGCATTATTTATTGCGAGTGCAGTGCCAGCAGGAAGTTTGTTCTAATAGTTCAGGGTTGGGAATTCTTTTCTCCATGGGACATTTGGATATTGTGGAGGGCCGGGATTGTTTTTATAAATAAATTTTGCAAAATATGATTTACTAAAACATAATAAGATTAGAGACCCTTTATAACAAATGTGACACATAATATGTGTTTGTATAGCGTTTAGCGTTTTGTGCCAATCCTATGTTACGTTCATGAAATTCTTTTTCAGGTGCCAATACAGTCTATGACACAAAATAATGAAAAGAAAAGGGCCACATGTTTTCCCAAGATAATCATTTTATTATATTGCAGACTTATTATTCTTAAATTTAGGACATACCGCAAAATCAGCCTGCACCAAAATTAACCCAAAGCTATTTTTGGGCTTCATCCACTTATTCCTTCAATTATGAGAATAAACCATCATAAATTCACAATTACACACTTTTCAGTTAATGTACATGTGAGAATACTCTAGTGAGAGTATAACAGAGGGTCATTCCTGATGTGTGGCTTGACTTGGTACTGACAACTCTCATACACTTAAAAAATAATTTGTGCCTCAATGTCAATGGCGACCGCCTTGAAATGGAAGTACCATTCCAATTCTTCTCTGAACCTGAAGTGTCCATGCTCCGGTCCAGGGACTCGCTCTGAGTTCATGTAAACATGAACTTATACCAAACCAAAACCAAGCCAGCTTCTAGAAACGGGCTTAAAAGTCTGACTTTTGGAAGTTACCATAATTACCAGAGAAGATTTTTCTACTTTCTCTTCTTGGGGGGCGACAGTAGCTCAGTTGGTAGAGCATTGGCCTTTGGGCCTGGAGGTCGTGAGTTCGATTCCCACCATGGGACCTACTCCAACTGCTCCCACTGATGACTGCTGTCGTTGTGTCCTTGGGCAAGACACTTAACCCCACATTGCCTGAAGCCCCTGCTGAAAGATCAAGGCTGTTTCACAATTGACGGAGCAGCCATCTTCCTGTGGACTCACCCCCTGCAGAAGATCAGCGAGGGACAGCTCTGGCAGCTCTCATTGCCACCCCCCCCGACCCAGAAATGGACAAATAAAGGGGTTGAAAATGAAAAAATGAAATGAAATGAAATGAAATGATTTTTCTACCACAGTATTAAGCCATAGGCCATTGCCCAGGTGTGAGAGCTTGAGAAAATATTCAATGAAGGAGGATGTGTTTGTGTTGAAGGTTGGATGTAAAAAGACATGTACATACTCTTGTTAATAAAGTGTTCTGCTGCAGCCTGTTTCTCTTTGTAATAATACATCTTTTCAGGACCACAAACACATTCAAAAGTGAGTAGTAGTCTCTTATTGTGAAGTTGCTCATTCTTATTAGAAAGGTAAAGGTCAATAATTACAATTCTTTGATAACTTAACCTCAGTCCAATGGAATCTTCCATTGAAGTTTGTGAACAGGAAGTAGTTATCCTCATCTATTTGTTTCTTCTCTGGAGGCAAGGCTTAGTGTGAAAAAGATGTATCCCACCTCTAAACAAACTCACACACACAGACAATTGCAATACCTCAGGGTAATTAATTTAAGAGCAGTACATCGGTCTCTAAGATAGTAAAACACTTCTAATACATCATAGGGGAATAGTTGATTCCACTTGGGTAATTATTGTTCTGTAGGGGCTCTAACTGGATTTATAAGTCCCTGGAGAATTCCGCTAATAGAGCAATGGGATATGCAGCGTGACTAGGCGTGACTTTTGGAGTGCAGGGGACACTCCTGAAGACCTTCCATGACTCTGTGGTGGCATCAGCCTCTTGTAAGGTGTGGTCTGCTGGAGCAGCAGCATCACAGAGAGGGACAGGAAGAAGCTGGACAAGGTCATCAGGAAGTCCAGCTCAGTCCTGGGCTGTTCCCTGGACACAGTGCAGCAGGTGGGGGACAGGAGGGTCCTGGACAAACTAACATCTATGCTAGACCATGACTGTCACCCCCTGCAGGACACTCTCTCTGCTCTGGAGAGCAGCTTCAGTGACAGACTGATTCACCCTCCCTGTGTGAAGGAGAGGTTTTGCAGGTCCTTCCTCCCTGCTGCTGTCAGACTGCTGTCAAACGAGAATGTTTAACAAAAACTGCTGAGTCTGTACAAGTGTCACTGATAATTCACTAGTAACTTTGTCACTAGTCACTTTACCTGTTATTAGTATTAAATACATATCCATCTGATACTTCTGCCATTCCAGCCTGCAAAGTGGGACAACTCAGATACACTGCACAGCACGGAGCTCTTTCACACCCGCTAGAGGGGAATAGGTGTGAAATCCCCCTCTGCTCTAACCCCCGCCTCCGCGCTGCTCCCCGCCCGTAAATTTGGACATGCGCAGTAGCGGAGAACAAACATAAACAACAATGGCGGCGGTCGCACTAACTAGCTACGTGGGCTTCGAGCGCGGCACAGAGGATAATTCTACTCCTTCGTTCGTCCAAACGAGACCACACGAAGCTCTAGGTTCAGTTCCCATGTTCCCAGAGGCTGTTAAAATGCAGAATGATGTTGGTGCGTTCTGAGGGTCTGGCACAGGAAGTGAGTACACTGCCGAGAGGGGGGCTGGGCACGGGGCTGGGGGTCGTGTGAGTGTTGTAAAGTTTCTCTGCCCACTACTGGCCGGGCGCTACAACTACATCGTTTTTCAACCTCATGTGAACGCTGAGAAATTTGCATTAGGAGCCTGGTTGTTTCTGTTAATAGCCTGGAAACGTCTGCGCAGCGTCTCAGTATAAACAGGGCCTAAGAGAGACGCCATGTCAAAGTGGTCAAGGAGTGGATGGGAGTGGTCAGATAAATGAATGAGTGTTCTCAGTTTAAATGGCTTAGCTCTGGACGACATGTGAAATAGGCAGCTCCCACAAACTTTCAACTAAACTTTGAAATTCAGCTTATGGCCGAAGGGGTAAGACTTAGAAATAAAACTTTGTCAGTAAAGCTGTAAATGGAGGCACTGGGACGCTGGGAGAGGTATGCTAACTACAGCACTAACCTACTTTAAATATCACCATTATGATTCTAGCTGTCATCTGTTCATTGCTATTCACCCGCTGTCCCATTATCTGTTGGATGATGGGACCCCTGAACTGAATCCAGCCTTTTTCAACCGCACCTGTGAACTGGTTTCCCCCAGCCTACACTTGTGTGTGTGGGTTGCACCCCCCTCCCCACCTGGGAGCCGCCTCAGTACCGTACAGCCTGTCCTGGATCTAAAGTCTGTCCATCCCTGGGAGCAAATTCCTCTCTTAATCCGGAAATTTAAGGACGATTATGCACATTAACATTATTTACATTTATGAACATTGGTCATCCCGCTCCTTGTGAAAAAATGGCTCCAGTGTTTGTTACTATTGCATTTCCTGTGATTCCTGTCGTTGAATCAACAACTTTCTTAAGTCCTCCGAGATGACTGCCGTTGTGATTCAGGACTATACAAATATAAGTTTCATCAATCAAGGACATGCAAACTAAAGGGGTGAATGATGACATTGTTCAAAGTTTGATCTGAATGTTTTAAAAAGTTTCTTTGAGTTTTTTTGGGAACCAATGGACCCGCCCACTCAAAGACTACGCAAAGAGAAGTAACAAAACATCAATAAAAGGGTGGAACAACAAAGGCCACAGAGATGCAACCAACATCTCTCTTTCTCTCTAGACTAGTATGCCTGGTTAAAATGCTTCAATATTATTATGTCTGCACTGGACAGTAACCCTGATCCTTTACAGCTATAACAGTAACCATGTTTGTAAATGGGACACGACCAGAGCACTTCACCCTCCTGGGTTTCCCCGGACTCCATCCTCAGTATTACAGCCCCGTGTCGGCTGTCATGTTCCTCGTCTTCCTTGCTATTGCTTTTGGAAACATGTGTATTTTAGTGTTTGTCATGTATGAGAAAAACATTCAAAAGCCGTCGTATCTGATCTTCTGCCACTTGGCGCTCAACGACCTCACTTTCGGCACAGCTACCCTTCCTAAGATCATCGCCATGTACTGGTTTGAAGACGACCTCATCTCTTTTCATGGCTGTTTTGTCCAGATGTTTTTTGTGCACTATTTGGGAGCGGTTCAGTCGTTTAACTTGATGGTAATGGCCTTGGATCGATTCATTTCCATTTGCCTTCCGATGCGCTACCCTGTCTACATCACAAATACGTCTGTGTCTGTGCTGTGTGCGACCGCCTGGTTTATTCCCCTCCCTATCATGATCACAGTGGTCATGCAGGCTGTAAATGTTCCGTTTTGCAAATCCAACGTGATCTCCCAGTGCTATTGCGATCACACTGCAATAATGAGTCAAACGTGCACTGAAGATTTTCTCGTAATCACTCTGACGACTTTCGCCATGGCTATGTTCTGTCTTTTGCTTCCACTGGCTTTCATTATCTTCTCCTACGCTTCTATTATCGTTGTGATTCTTAAAATGTCAAATTCAGTCGGCCGCGAGAAGTCTTTTTCAACATGCACTTCGCAAATATTGGTCACCTGTTTGTTTTATCTGCCCAGGTGCTTTGTGTATCTTGCAACGGTGACGGGGTTTTCCTTCAGTGCAGATTTTCGCATTTTCCTTATAATGTTGTACAGTCTACTGCCAGCTGCTGTGAATCCAATCATATACTGTTTTAAAACACAGGACATCAAGCAATATCTGTTCACAAAATTGCGGAGAGTGAGGATTGGGGTAGCACAAAGCAGTTTTCACATGAATAAAATCCTTAGATTAAGGTAGTTTTATTTGGATCTTGGCAAGAAACATGTTGGCTGTGAATGGGGGATTTCATTTGTCCTTGCAAACTTGTTCACCACCAAAAGTGATAAAATATGAGTTAATAATCGCTTGAATTGAGTGTTTTTTGTAATTTGAGTACAGCCTGACACTCTTAAAACAAGATTTACTAATAGGACAAGCAATTTAGTCTTATTTCAAGTCTTGGCATTTCTTCTATCTTGTTAAAACAAGATCATAATCTGCTTGTTTCGTTGGAAAATTCTGTTTTAAAGTGGTCTCTATGTGCTTAATTTAAGATACATTTTGCCAAATTTGAGCAACTTTTTACTTAATTTTCATTACTTATCGCTGCGGTGACAGATTTTTTATATTTATATGCATGATTGTTCGCGTCCCCGTGATGCACAGCAGGTAGATTGCAAATACAATGAAGTGTACTAAAGCAGAATATACTAGGGCTGCAGATCACACATTTGATGCAGAAAAAAGCTTGAGGACATTCAATTTATTATTTTTTATTGTTTTATTATTTTTGAGTATTTGCCTTGAGAATGCATGCATCTTAGAGTTCATAATGTATACCCCCAAGTACACACACTCACTCACACACAGTAGTTATTCCTCGTGTTCACAGTACACTTTAAAGTCCATTAAAGTATCTGGACTTTAAAAGGCTATAACTCAAAAACCAAAACTACTATCATAGATTGGAAAAAAGATTTCAAACACAGACACATCAAAGAGAGTGGATAAAATCAAAGGAAAGATTGAATATATTATTGGCGACATTTTAAACGACCAAATCAGCCTCTGATTTGACCATTCTACTGTGACGCCAGTTACTGTACATAGAAAAAAAAATGTCCTCAGTCTGAAAAAGCGGCAGATGAAATCCCACAAGATGGTTAACACAACATAAGTAAAATAAAATCTCTTGATTTAAAGTGATCATTAAGAAAATAAAAAAATTAAATGACCCTTGATAAATGTGTAACGGACGTGATGGTTTCTGTCCATTTTTCTCTAACAATTAAACTTCTGGCCCTGGTTTCACATTTAATTGGGCGACTAAATGAAAGTATCACTTTGTTTCTACTGTGTAAAAAATAGAATCTCTGAATCAAATGTGGACATCTGAAAATAAGTAACAAACTTCCGCAAAGCTCATTCCGTCAAATCATCACGTCCGTTACATAAAATAAACAGGGCCGCTGTAGGAAACTGTAGGAACAGTTTTGTTCTAGCAACTTCTAATGGACAGAAAGGGATTTGGATACATGAAAAACATAAAATATCTTCTGATTTTGGCCTTTTGTCACACTTTTGTGCCCTTTACTGTGAACAAGCCCTTATAGTCCTGATATCACCTATAACCCTATTCATGTTTTAAAATTTGGAAAGCAGCAAACAAGTTTTCAAATATGAAAATAATCGACAATCCTTGAACCGTTGAAGTGATACACAAAATCTGGAATTCTTTGGGTTGTTTTTTTATTATTATTATTTTACCATTGGAAAATCTGAAATATTGTGGCCATAAAACTGTTGTACATGTTGCTGTTTGGATGTTTCCAGAGAATGTGTTTGATTCAATGGTTGGCTTTGCTGCAAATAAATACATTCAGAGTTTCTTGAAAAGTTATTTCTAGCAACTATATTGTTGTTTTCAGAGTATTTCTGAATACTTTAAAAACATTGATATCGTATTAAAAAAGTATGTTATACTCATTTGTTTGCACGTTCCTCGCTTGTTAGGTAAACTAAAGAATATGTTTGTTGTTTTAATCCTTTAAATTTGTCCTGTGAACATTTGCTCATGTCTCAAACCTCTTTGTAGCACCATTAGAATCAGAATCAGAATCAGAATCAGAATCATTTTTATTGCCAACGTAAGTAACGGGAGGTCACAGACTTGGAAATTGATTTGGCTCAGTGCAACAGTCAAAAAGAGATAATAAAAATAAGAATAAAAAACACTTCTAAAGAATAAATTTAAATTTAAAATAGAGTTACAGTTACTATTTACAATATACAAGTGCACATGGTGCACACAATGTAAGGTGACAGCAGTACAGTGAAGTAAAGTGACGTATGATGGGCAGTAAAGTGACTTTATAAAGGGCGGGGGGACAGGTTAAGAAGTGTTCAAGAGTCCAACAGCAGAGGGGAAGAAACTGTTCTTGTGGCGGGAGGTTCTAGTCCTGATGGACCGCAGCCTCCTGCCTGAGGGGAGTGGTTGGAATAGTCCATGTGCAGGGTGAGAGGGGTCGGCTGTGATACGACCAGCCCGGCCTCGAGCTCGGGCGACGTACAGGTCCTGCAGCGATGGAAGGCTGCGGCCGATCACTTCCTCTGCAGAGCGCACAATGCGCTGTAGTCTCTGTTTGTCCCTGACTGTGGCTCCAGCGAACCACACGGTGATGGAGGAGGTGAGGATGGACTCGATGATGGCCGTGTAGAACTGCACCAACATCTGTGCAGGCAGCTTGGCTTTCCTGAGCTGCCGCAGGTCCTGTATGACGGCAGATTCCATAGATAAATGTGTGTGTTCGCGTACAATGCTATTAAAATGTGTGTGAAAGAGAGTGGTCGTTGATACTGTACAGGCGCTCAAGTTAACAAAAGTTCTGACGTCCTTTTGTACATGTTTATGCTGATGTATAAGTTACAGACTGATTCTAGTCTCTACTGATGTAGAAAACATACACTTTTTATTATTTTTCTGTCAAAGGAACCAATGAGACCTCATTATGTCCAAAGCAATATTGTGATAGTAGTAGTTTTAAAGCAGGTGCTGCATTTATATCTCTTGGCCAAATGCACCGCTGCTTGGTATGAATGTAGTAGTTGGTAGCGGTTTGATAACATTTCAAAATGTATCAATTTGCAAGATCACACAATACTGTTGCAAGGTGACAATCGGAGCCACACCACAACATCTATTTCAGAGGTTCAGAATCAGTCTTTGACACAGGAGCATCAAACTAGGCTAAACTATGTATGTTAAGATTTTCTAAGTCCAGAAAAAATTTCCAAAACTTTTCCAAAGGTTGGAACTACTTTCCAAAAGTTGGAACAACTTTTCCAAAAGTTGGGGACAGTCTACCACAAAGGGACAGTCGACCTCATGGGGACAGGGTGTCCCCTTGTGTCTTACGTCCTACAGTGAAGCAGCTATAAAGATCGGCTGGAGGCAGACGCTCCAGTTGGGGAGGGTTGACTTGTGTTTGACTCCTACAGTGTTTAAGTGCAATGATGATTGTTTCCAATGCTACTTATTTAAAAACCTTTGTCATTGTAGGTTTTCCTGGACTTCACTCTAAGTATTTTGGACCAGTCTCTGCTCTGCTGTTCTTTGTCTACTTGGCTGTTGTCATTGGAAATGCTTTCACAGTTGTAGTTATATATTGGATCAAATCTCTTCACAAACCCACCTACATCATATTTGCCAACTTGGCCATGACAGACATCATATTTGCGACTACCACGCTTCCTAAAGTTATTGCTCGGTATTGGTGGGATGACTCTTCAACTCTATTTGGGACTTGCTTCCTTCAGATGTATTTTGTCCATTCTATGGGTTCCATTCATTCTTTAATTCTGCTTTTAATGGCTTTGGACAAGTTCATTGCTGTATGGTTTCCACTTCGATATCCATCAGTGATCAATAACAGATCTATTTCTATAGCATGTTTTCTGTGCTGGAGTCTAACATTCACCCGACTGGTGGGTGTGGTGCTCCATGCATTAAGCTTGCCATACTGTGGTATCCATGGTAACACTATCAACCATTGTTATTGTGACCATTTATCAATAACTAAACTTGGCTGTGGGGAGAAAGAGGTCAAATATGTGACAATTGTGGCTTTAGTTATCGCTTTGTTTGGGCTGCTGCTGCCGTTATCCTTCATCATTTTCTCCTACTTCTCTGTGATCGTGGCTGTGATAAGAATGCCTCAATCTGACAGACGATACAAGGTCTTGTCCACTTGTGCTCCACAGATCTTCATCACTTGTCTGTATTATGTGCCAAGGTGCTTTGTGTATATTTCAAATAACCTGGGCATGAGTCCAGAGAAACAGATACAGGTCGTCATAGTGATGTTGTACAGTCTGGTCCCTGCCATTGTTAATCCATTTATCTACTGTTTCAAAACAAAAGATGTTAAATATGCTCTCACTCAGAAGATCAAAAACAGGAAAGTACAAAACATGACCCGGTTTAGGAAATAACCCTACCTGACTATATGTTCACATAAAACAAGCACTGAAAGCTATATGTAAACACAAATGTAACTTAAAATAAACATGAACATAAAATACAAATCTATTTCAACAATATTATACTGTATGTATCTATGTGTCCAATTCAAAGGATCAACTTTGATCAATCAAGATGTATTTTTAATTGGTCTGAAATATTCTACAATAAATCAGACAAATTTATGTTCATGAATGAAATCATTAAAATGTTGAAAGCATGATTTTGTGAGGTCGACACCAACTGGCGTCATGAGTCAGATAAAAAACATGATGTCCACACTTATGAAGTAAGTCATCTTTATTTATACAGTGCATTTCACAGATCAAGGTCACACACTGCGTTTCACATTATTTTTAAATACAGCGGTCCTTTGCTATCTTCACCTTTTGCCTTGCTGTGATGGAGCTTTATGTGTGTGTGTGGTATGGCATGTTTTATTACTGTGTGTACTCCAACAGCAACATACATTACATCATACTGTATAACCGCTCAAATAAAATGACAGTTAACTTTATTTAGACAGTTACCTTTAAGACAACATTTGTGGCTTGTGTGCCCCACAGTTCAGAGGACTACCATGATCTTCCCATTCTGTTGCTGTATGTTGCAGTTTATGCACAGCATTTGACAGCTGCAGCAGCACTCAGACCTACAACAAACAGGTTTGATATCTCTGCAATCACACTTCAGCAGTCGTGAGGAGTTTTACAGCCACAAAACATATCGCTGTTACTTCACAGATGTTGCTTATTGTGGGTTATTTCTAAAACGTGACCCCCACAATAAACAAGGAACCACTTTACTGATGTCCCCTGTCCACTCCACAAACGCTAACGACGGAAGCGGGGTCTCCGAAGACACTGGCGCATCAGATCTATTGTACAAAAATCAGTGCCACCGGAGGCAACCTACGCAGACACTAAGAGAACATGCAAACTCCATACAGAAAAGCCCTGTCTGGAGGTGGAATTGAAACTTTCTCGCTATGAAGCACAAGTGCTAACCCCAACACCAACGCGCTGCCCAGTGTTTAGGCCAAGAATGCAAGAAGACCAATCCCTTCTTACCACTGGAAATGTGAACTTGTCTATTGAAAATGTTTGGCGGCAGAGTTCTTCTTGTGGTGACATGTTAATCTGTAAAACAGTGGTTTCTTAATGGATGAAGAGACTGTCCTATTAAAGGAGACACAAGCAGGGGCTACATGTAACGATTGTATGACCCGTCCACTTTTTGTCAGTCCACGCATTAAAGAAGCTATACTCGATTTTTTTTCTAAGTAGTTGATTTAAATGCTTATTACTACATACAAGTTGTATTCAAATCCGTAATTTAATTGAAAATTTGAGGTAATTGATTCAGCTGTGTAAGTAAGTCTGAGCGGGACGTTCTCCTCCACTCACAGAACGAGCAGCGACCAGCCTGCGTCCTCTAGTCTCCACAGCGCTGCTAAACACTAGGGCTTCGAAATTCGAATATAATTCTAAAATATAAATATATATATATATATATATTCGAACACATATTAGACAGCCCTTACAATTCGAAATGTATTCAATAACTGCAAATAAAATAGTTAGCTCCCAAAGGTTTCACCGGGACGTGCTAGGCAGGTAACAGCTAAGCTAGCTAGCTCCCTGGAACTACATGTTAATAGATACTTCCGGGTATTTTGCGATCGCTTTTTGTCACATTAAAATAGTAATTTGGTCATGAAAACGATAACAAGAAATTCTGAAAAAGTCTGTGCATGTGTGTTAAGATGTATATGTATACTGTATTGTCCGATTAACATTTAATGGTGTTGATTGATTGATATGTAGTTGTTTATTGAGCGTGGCTAGCTTCTCTCGTTGTACTTGCGGAGTAATGGCAGTATTTTACACACCTGAATTAGAAACAGAGATTGCATTGTCAAAGGGAAGCGGTCATTATTGATTTGAGAGTTCTGTTATCAAGAAAAAATGATCGGTAGAATTACATTCAAGTCAATGGAGTGTTCTACTGCTGCTGTGAGGAGCTGTATAATAAATTATAATTAAATACTCAAATATATTCTAATGTTTTAATGAATAAATTTGGATGCGAAACTAGCAGTATTCTTTTACCTATATATTGTGTTAGCAGTGCGTTGCTTTAGTACCATTTCATCAGTGATTGTTGTACAGCTTACAAGAAGTTGTGCTAACGCTAATGTTAGCATACATGTCAGATCGCAAATTGAGCTAGATGGCTCTGTGTTATGAGAGCGCAGGGGAAATTAGAAGCCATTGAGCGAGTTGGGGGGCGGTGCTAAACATTCAAACATTGCAGAAACGGGTATAGTGCCTTTAAATACTTGCAACAACCAAGTCTCCAGTCTGATATTCCTTGCATCATTGATTCTTTGCTACCACCCAAGATATTACAGACCAACCACATATGAGCATTGTTTGGGTTCATTCTGCATCAGCCTCAGCATTATAAAGTGATTCATGTTATATTGTTTCCTCAAAATCACTTTGCACATCCCCGTCGTAACTGTTGTCTACTGGGGTAAAGTGTCGTACCACAGACGTACATGCACAGCAATCACAAAAACATGCACATTTGCATAAAGTCAGGTCTTTATCGCAGAGTTCAAAGTCCGAGCATGTGCATGTGGTGTCTGTGTCACTTCCAGAGATATCCGCCACGCCATTTCTTCCGCCACAGTTTGAAAATGTGAATCTATTTTTTATGGTATTTCGATCTAATGATGCAAAGAGCTGATCTATCTCTTCATATGTCAAGCATTGCACAGGCTGCACTGAATCTGCCAGTGTTTTTGTATGAAAAGATGGTCCACCATGGTTAACCAAAATGTCAGGTTGTGAATTCTCATGTTTTGATAAGCTATTATCACTAGAATATTCATTTTCATCCTCAACATGTTTTATAATGTCTTCCTCTTTCGTAAAAAAGCTACAGTCTTTGGGCCAGGGAATGTTGAAAATGCCAAAATCATACATTGTTTTATGTTGAGAAAATTGGCGATCCATTGCTTTGTCCAAATTCAAACCTATTTTTTTGCGTTTGCTACGTTTTCGTCTGGAACGCAGCAGCAGAATGCAGATGAGAATAACAGCGAGGGCAAAGACGGGCAGTAGAATGAACGGTAAAAGCCACGGATTCGGACTTGACAGGGATTCAATGCAATGTTGTGGGTGTTCTGAAGAGCACACGTCGCACGATTGGCTGGAACTGTTATGGAGGCACAGACAGCGGCCGTCACATTCGTCTTCAGGGCAGGGAGCGGACAGGCAGGTCCCGTGTGCGTCACAGTCCCCCTGGAGGAGAGAGGAGCTGGGACGAACCTCCACCGACCGACTGTGGCCGCTCAGGGGAAGGCTGTAACCGCTGATGTTTAAGTATTGGACACAGCCTCGGAAACCTGCATCCCAAATCACACGAGAGATCGACGGGAGCTATAGGCAAAATGTTAAGAAAACGCATGTACTGTATACCCTATAAAAAACATGTACTATTTCCATGCTTTTCATATTGTCCATACTATTTGACACTTTGGACTGAGAGCAAATTAGCTGAGTGAGGGTCTTTTCCACTTCTCTGTAGAAAAGAAATACGCACATGTAAAAAATAGTCTGGATAGAACCAAATTGTTGTGAGAGAAATATGAATTGGATACATGGATTTTATTATGCTTTTGTGCTTGATTTTCTTTCTCTCTGTGTGTGTGTGTGTGTTTGTGTTAGTGTGTGATTTGAAAATTAGGTATCCCAGATTCAATTCCATTTTCAGCAATGTAATGTTGATGTTGATGTACATTTTCAAAATATTGTTTTTAATTTTGATTTAAAATGCAAGAGTGTCTGAGGTCAGTGATGATTCGGGACATTTTAAGACATTTATTAACATTTATAGACATTGGTCATCCCGCTCCATAATTATGGACTCATGGCTCCTACATGTTGGTTCAAACTATTTGATTCTCTGATCTGTTGTTGGTGAATCAACACCTTTGTTAAGTCGTCCGAGATGACTGCTGTTGTAATTTAATGCATTTAATAGAATTTAAAAGATTAGTATATAATTATTTAAAACTAATACTATTACATAATAATATTGACTATACTGCCACTAATAATAATAATAATGGATTATATTTTACACCAAATCTTAGTGCTACAGATTTAAACTATTCCTTCTTGGGTCAACATCTTCCACATCTATTTCAATTTTTTTATTTTTTTTATTTCCCATAATACATTGTGAGGGGTGGTTGGGAACAAATAACCATCTGTTTCATCCGACCCCTTTTCAAACCGTATTAGTGAAAAGCAATGTGAAACTGTGCCCTGCAGGTTTGAAATAAATGGGACTAACTAACATTTATTGTTTTATTCCATGCCGATTGTAGACTAAATCTCATTACGAAACACTTACTGGATCTCATTCACACGTACAAACCTTTCACATAACTGACCTGTTTGCTGGAGCTCTGCCTGGCCTCGTCCCAGGACGATGCTTTCCACATTGTAAGGGCTGAGATCCAGACTCTCTGAGATGTTTACTGCGACTTCAGCATCCACAGAGATCATACTTTTGTCTCTGCTCGTCCACATGGTCAGCACATGCCACTGACCGTCCGCTACCATGGAGCCTACGACCCTCTCGGCCTTGTACCCGGACACACGGTTCACAGAGGTGTACCACAGCATCTCTTCTTTTATCTGAATGCATTTGTAATTAAACAAAAAGTAAAACATAATAATAATAAACACACTAACAAAAACAAGCTGTAAACCTGGAGCATATTGAAGCTTGTGAGTCCATGGATAAATAACAATACTCCATTGTCTCTTGTTTTGAATTTAATGCTGATGCTGTTATAGTCTTCTGTCATTTCCTCTTCGTTATTGACTAGTGCTTTTAGTAAAAAATCCCTTTTGAAGTTTTCCTTCACCACATATTCTATGAAAGCACCATCTCCACGGAGCGGCATAACCAGCTCTTCTGAGATTTCTGTTTAAAAAAAGAAAAAAGCTACTCATTAATAGTTTTATCAAGATCAGTCAGATTCCAGGTGTGAAGAGACTTGTGGATGAGAGAACTGCAAAAGGAAACATAAGATAAGTTACGACTGTGTGCATGTCATATCAGCAACAGGTCACGACCTGTGTCTTTGTTGTCATAGTTACATAGCCCTGCTTCAGTGTTTTATCTTTTCCCTTGTTTTGACAATATACAGCTTCTTGTACTTCATATTTCTTAAGATTCTCCCATCGATCCATCCATTTACTTCCGCTTCATCTGTTGCCGGGTCGCGGGGCAGCAGTCTAAGCAGAGACGCCCAGACTTCCCTATCCACACTCACTAAAATGTCTTTGCAGCCAGCAAAACGAGGGACAGGGTTTATAAGGCTTTTTTGTCGTTCCTTCTGTTCCTATTTGTTTATGTTGCACAAATGTAAAGGGAATATACATGATGTAAGTAGGCAATATGGTACGGACAAATGAATAAATAAATAAACCCCAAGGCGTTCCCAGGCCAGCTGAGAGACATAGTCTCTCCAGCGGGTCCTGGGTCTTCCCCAGGGTCTCCTCCCTCACCTCTCCAGGGAGGCGTTCAGGAGGCATCCTGAAGAGATGCCCGAGCCACCTCAACTGGTTCCTCTCGACGTGGAGAAGCAGCGGCTCTACTCCGAGCTCCTCCCGTGTGACTTAGCTCCTCACCCTATCTCTAAGGGAGAAGCAACTCTGCGGAGGAAACTCATTTAGACTGCTTGCATTCGCGATCTCATTCTTTTGATTATTACCCAAAGCTCATGACCATAGGTGAGGGAGGTAACGAAGATTGACCGGTAAATCGACAGCTTTGCCTTCCGGCTCAGCTCCCTCTTCACCACAATGGTCCGATACAGCGACCGCATCACTGCGCATGCTGCACTGATTCGTCTGTCAATCTCACGCTCCATTCTTCCCTCACTCGTGAACAAGACCCCGAGATACTTGAACTCCTCCACTTGAGGAAGGACCTCTCCACCCACCTGGAGAGGGCAAGGCACCTTTTTCCTCAGATTTGGAGGTGCTGATTCTCATCCCAGCCGCTTCACACTCGCCTGCAAACCGTCCCAGTGCATGTTGCAGGTTCTGGTTCATTGGGGCCAACAGGACAACATCGTCCAAAAACAGCAGAGAGGAAATCCTGTGGTCCCCGAACCGGACCCCCTCCGGCCCCCAGCTGCGCCTAGAAATTCTGTCCATAAAGACAGTGAACAGAACCAGTGACAAAGGGTAGCCTTGCCGGAGGCCAACATGCACCGGGAACAGGTCTGACTTACTGCCGGTAATGCGAACGCAGCGCTGGCTCTGGTCATACGGGGACTGGACGGCATTCAGCAGAGGACCCCTGGCCACATTCTCTCAAAGAAACCCCCAAAGGACACCCCGAGGAACACAGTCGAACGTCTTCTCCAAGTCCACAAAGCACATGCGGACAGGTTTGGCAAACTCTCATGAACCCTCGAGTATCCGATGGGAGTATAGAGCTGGTCCAGTGTTTCACGGCCGGGACGAAAACCGCACTGCTCCTCCTGAATCCGAGATTTGACCATCGGTCGTAGTCTCCTCTCCAGTACCTTGGAGTAGACCTTACCGCGGAGGCTGAGGAGTGTGATCCCACGATAATTGGAACACACCCTCCAGTCCTCCTTCTTGTAGAGAGGGACCACCACCCCGGTCTGCTACGCAATGTTGCAGAGACATGTCAGCCAAGACAGTCCTACAACATCTAGAGCCTCCAGAATGGAGGACATGAACCTCAAAGTATTCCTTCCACCACCCAACAATATCCCCAGTCGAGGTCAGCAGCTCTCCACCTGCACCATATATGGTGTTGGCAAAAACTGCTTTGCCAGAATCTCTTCGAGGCCAACAAATAGTCATCATGCTCTATGGACTATCCAAACTCTTCCCAGCCCCGGGTTTTTGCCTCTGCAACAGCCAATCTTAATATATACAGTATCTCAATTTTCTGGATGTCTTGGATTGTGTCCTGTTATATTACAATTGGGGGATGACAGATGTATTTTAACTTTTTACCTTGGTTGCATGTTTTTCCGATGAAGAACTTTGTGCATTCACAAAAGTAATCATGCCACTTATCATGACACACGCCATCATTTTGGCATGGATTACTTTCACATGGGGATCTTTTGTTTCTTGGACAGCTTAAGAAATATGAGTTAGAAATGAATGAGTTGATTTAGCATAATTTAGTCCTGTTTATAGGTCTACCTTTCATCAATATTGTAGGCAGCGAGCGCCATAGCCGGTCGAAGCCGGACTCCATTGACATAGATCTGCCGCATACATCCACCAAAGCTGTGTGTTTGTGTCTGTCCAGGATGAAGCAAGATCGTTTCACTGCTCTTCAGACCTCCAAAGATCATGTTGGTATTCCCAACGTCAAGAGTTCTGTTTTGAGGGAACCGCGTCATAAATGGGTTTCCACAATTGGAGAAGAAACAGTCAGATAATACCTTTCCAAAATACCAAACGTTTGTGAAAAACAGAATCCCTCTTTTTCCACTTCCGTACAGTTGTCCACGTTCAGAGTGGCCATCTGAAAAATTTATAGATTGGATATCAGAATCAGAATCATTTTTATTGCCATGTAAGTAACAGGAGGTCACAGACTTGGAAATTGATTTGGCTCGGTTCAACAGTCAGAGAGAGAGAATAAAAAATAAAGAATAAAAAACACTTCTAAGGAATAAATTTAAAATTGAAATTGAAATAGAGTTACAATTACTATATACAATATACAGTGCACATGATGGACACAATGTAAGGTGACAGCAGTACAGTGAGGTAAAGTGACGTATGATGGGCAGTAAAGTGACATTATAAAGAGCAGTAAAGTGACATTATAAAGAGCAGTAGGGGACTTCTAGAGGGCGGGGAGGTTAAGAAGTGTTCAAGAGTCCAACAGCAGAGGGGAAGAAACTGTTCTTGTGGCGGGAGGTTCTAGTCCTGATGGACCGCAGCCTCCTGCCTGAGGGGAGAGGTTGGAATAGTCCATGTGCAGGGTGGGAGGGGTCGGCTGTGATACGACCAGCCCGGCCTCGAGCTCGGGCGACGTACAGGTCCTGCAGCGATGGAAGGCTGCGGCCAATCACCTTCTCTACAAAGCGCACGATGCGCTGTAGTCTCTGCTTGTCCATGACTGTGGCTCCAGCGAACCACACGGTGATGGAGGAGGTGAGGATGGACTCGATGATGGCCGTGTAGAACTGCACCAACATCTCTGCAGGCAGCTTGGCTTTCCTGAGCTGCCGCAGGAAGTAAATCCTCTGCTGGGCCTTCTTGATGAGGGAGCTGATGGTCGGCTCCCACTTGAGGTCCTGGGTGATGGTGGTGCCCAGGAAACAATAAGACTCCACAGAGGTGATGGGGGAGTCCATCACGGAGGGTGGGGGTGGGGGGACAGTGCTCTTCCTGAAGTCCACAATCATCTCCACTGTCTTCTGGGCGTTCAGCTCCAGGTTGTTACCACTGCACCAGGACACCAGCCGGTCCACCTCCCTCCTGTAGGCGGACTCATCGTTGTTGGGGATGAGACCAATGAGGGTGGTGTCATCCGCAAAGTTGATCAGCTTCACGGAGTCGTGCCTAGTGGTGCTGTGGTTGGTGCACAGGGAGAAGAGCAGGGGAGAAAGAACACAGCCCTGTGGGGCTCCTGTATTTATAATCCGAGAGTCCGAGACATTCTTCCCCAGACGCACTCGCTGCTTCCTGTCTGTCAGGAAGTCAGTGATCCACCTGCAGGTGGAATCGGGCACGTTGAGCTGGGAGAGCTTGTCCTGGAGCAGGGCTGAAGTCCACGAACCGGACCTGGCGTAGGTCCCCGGGGAGTCCCGATGCTGTAGGGTGTGGTGGAGAGCCAGGTTGATGGCGTCGTCTACAGATCTGTTGGCTCTGTAGGCGAACTGCAGGGGGTCCAGGAGGGGGGAGATGAAGGACTTGAGATGGGAGAGGATCAGGCGCTCAAATGACTTCATGACGACAGACGTAAGTGCTACAGGTCTGTAATCATTGAGTCCTGTGATATTGGATAGTGACGGGTATGACAATGTCTTCATTCATGTTTAAGACCGCCCACAGAGGAACAGACAGATGCTGGATGAAGTCATCAGTGCAATGAGAACTGCTGAGCCTGTACATGTCATTCATCTGTAAATAGTAAATTCTGCGATTAGGTGCAGAGTGCAATACTGCAATTTCTGAATGTCACTTTATCTTTGTTATTTATTCTGCCAAATTGCGAAAATGTATGCATCTATATATTGATGTATCTCTGTATATTTTGCATGAAAACTGTGCTAAACATTTTCCATTTTGGGACATGTAAAAGGTTATGTTATCTCTACCAACTGAGCCACTGTTAATTTGATCTAAACTTAGTTTATAATAGATTTTGCATAATGAGCATACTATTATTGTAGCTTTAAGACATTACTATTATGATTCAAAGGCTGCTCAATGAGAGCTCCCCTGAACAGCCTATTTTATTTCATTCTTGACTGCTGGCAGTTAGACTACTTTTGATGGCAGGGAGTCTTTGTGAATGCAATTTTGTGTAATCTAATTTTCAATAACAAATTGAGGAATAAAATGATATGGACTGAGCCACATTACCATAAACAGCCTTCAACCAATTCAAAACTTCGTCAAAAGTGTTAAACAAAACTTATCTCTGAAGAAAATATCTTACTGTAGCCTACATGAGTAAGATGTGATGACCAAAAATACAAATCCACTTTCCCAAATGAAAATAATAATTAACTAGTCCCATTCATTTGAACAGTTTAAATTAAATCCGTAATAAAGAGATGTGAATTAAAGTAAAAATAAAAAATGAATTTTCAGTATTGTGTATGATTAATGCCTTGTTATAGTCGTTAATCACAATAACAATAAAAAGCAGACTTACACTGCCTATTCTCCTGACAGAGAGCAGGTGAAAGTGTCCATCTGCCACCTGCTTGTGCGTCTGCAGCCTGACCGGTCCAGAGCCGAGGTCATAGGTCATGCGTGCAGTGCCATTCACGATCTCAACAGTCAGGAAGTCAGAGTGGTCCTCTCCTCCAGAGCAGTACACCAGAAGAGAGTTTCTCTGCACTGTAGCAAACTCCAGTGAAATGAGGTTAGTGCTGCGGTCTGGAGGAGGGAACTCCAGGTAAGACAGCTCTCCAAAGCCATAACTCTGCTCCTGACAATAGACACCACTCACTCCTGAAAAAGAAGCGAACACTCTTTCACTATTTCCTTTTCATTCTATCGGTATCTACTACTAATATTATGCATTATGAATGTAATGAAAGGGTTAATGGATGGTGTTGGTTGGGGGTTTTGATGCTCCAGTGCGTTCGGGTCTCGCTTCTGTCAGCACTGTGTGTTGAGTGAATGAAATAATATCTGAACTCTAAACATTCATTGTAAAGCGCTTTGGGTGACTATGGTTGGTAAAATGCACTACATCAGGGGTCTCCAACCAGTTGCTCGGGAGCCACCAGTAGCTCGCCACCCCCTTTCAGGTATTACAATATATCAAAAAAAAATTCCCAAGGGCCGCTTAAAGGAGTAGCTCTCTGCCTTTATCGTCCCGGGAAAGTAGCTCTCTGTGTAAAAAGGGTTGGAGACACCTGCACTACATCAAATTAAGATTTCTTACTTACTATTTAACTTAGGGGTTAGGGTAATCTTACCCAGAGTGAGGTAGTCTCTCCACCTGTAACTTGCCCGGTTGAATAACTGGGTTTTCTCCATAGCAATAGCAGGTTCCATCACAGTCATATTGGATATAGCAATGGACAGGTAGAAGCTTATACAACATATATATACATGACCTATGACATATGACCTTTAGTCACTGTCCGATCAAGTGCCTTCTAAACCCAAAAGCCCTTCTTGATATCCTGATTGGCTCAATGGTTGCTAGAATTTTGTTAAAAATTGCCGCTCATGGAGCCTGTTTAAATTAGTTCTAATTGGCTTCTTTTGGGATAAGCTTAACGCTATGGGTGATGTCAGCACTCCTTTTTCCCACTCCTTTCGTCCGTGAAAGACGGCCCGTGTCTGAAAAAGTTCCCCTTTGCATACCACATATATTATAAATCTTCTCAATAATTACATGCATATTTTCTTACCAACTGGGCAGAGGCATCTGAACTCTGTCTTTTGATTGATGCAAGAACCCATGACACAAGGAGAAGAGCTGCAGTAGTCAATGGTGCGTTCACAGGTGATGCCTTTAACAGAGATCACACAATTTGCTATAACATTATAATTACTGAATATGAAACTGTGCTACATACCTTCAAACCCAGGGAGACACAGGCAGCGATACATATCATCAGTGAGAATACAGGTCCCATTATTTTTGCAATCCATCTTCAGGCATTTCTCTATATCCATTGAGCAGACAGTACCAGAGAATCCAGCTTTACATTCACAGTGGAATCCTCCAGGGCTGTTCAAACAAGTGCCTCCATTCTCACAAGGGCTCTCCTCACACTCATCTATGTCAACCTCACACATCTCACCCCTAAATCCAGCGGGACAAGTGCAGTTAAAAATCTCTTTGTGAGGAGATACAAATATAACTGCTGGACTTTGGAGGACAGACACATCTTGGGTGATGATGAGGTTTTGGTTGCACGTAGCCCCATTTCTACATGGAATAGTGAGGCAAGGGTCACTGGTGATGTGCGAGAAGGTAACATTGCTCTGAGACTCAAGTAGTTTCTTATGATCTGAAGACACGCCTCTTGCAACCTCTTTGCTCAGATATTGTCCATTATAATTTTTCACAGCCGCTAACAGGAGGACCTCAGAGCCAATTCCTTTTATTCCAAACACATGTGTTTTGGAAGCCTGCAGATTAAAAAGGCTGTCTAAAGCTTTGGTAAATTTTAAATAGTTATTGGCCAAAAAGTTCTCTACTGTGGATGAGGAAACGTAGAATAAAAAGCAATTATCAACCGATGCATTCATGAAGCCTTTGTAATTGACATAAACACTGTTGTTGACTGGGTAGTGGAGCTGGTCAGTTGCCTCAATAGTGATATTATATGTGGCTTCACCTTGAAATGGTGCTGACCATAACTCACAAGATCCGTTTGCTATGGTGAACATATTTGTTGGTCCAGTTTTTATTGTACATGTAAAAGTGTCTGACTCATCCGTATCCTCTGGCTGAACATTTCCAATCATACCTCCACGAAAAAAACTTCCAAAGTACTTCACCTCAATGACAATATTTCTGCCAATGGGAGGATTGTCATTTTCATCCAGAATATTAACTTGAAACAGTGTTGTTGATGTCAGTGGTGGAACACCTGAATCTTTTGAAGCTACCAAAACTTTATGAACAGAAGTCTTTTCTCTATCAAGTGGTCTATTAGTGAATAAAACCCCATCAAGCGTCAATGAGAAAGCACTGTCCTGCAAAGGGTTCACCAACCAGTATGTGAATGGTCCTTGGTTTGGTGCTAAATCTGAATCAATTGCATTTAATTTCTCCACCCTAGATCCTTGATGAAGGTTTTCCTTTATCCACGCTTCAGTCAGAGTTAGTAGTGGGGCGTTGTCATTCACATCACCAACTGTGACAATAACATTAGTCGTACCAGTAGCTGGTGGAAAGCCAAAGTCTGTAGCTGTTAAAGTCAGGTTGTAAAGGGGCCACTGCTCACGATCAAGAGGGGTGTTTATCAAAATAATACCGTTGGACGGGTTGACAACAAAAGAAAAGTGGGTGTTTCCATCTTGAATAGTGTAAAGTAAATTATTGAGTGGAGAGTCTTGGTCTAGAGCAGTAATTGTTGTCACATATTTCCCGACTGGACTGTCTTCTGTGACATTAACAGCATATTCCGTGAAGGTAAATCTGGGTGCATCATTGGTATTGATAACACTGACTACAACCAAAGCCTCATCAACCTCTGTCCCAGTAACAACTCCAGGGTTTTTTGCAAGAACTTTTAAAACAACGTTAGTGTTCCTTTGCCTTCTCAAACTGCTTGTGGTGTAAATTTCTCCTGATGTTTGATGGATGTCAAATCCCAAGTATTTGTTTTGTCCAAACATCACATAAAACACTTGGCCTGCTGGTCCAAGATCACCATCTGTGGCTTCAACTTGACCAACTGTTGTTCCAATTGGGGCACTTTTCGGAACAGAAAAGTACAATTCTTTTTCTTTGAAACTTGGGATAAAATCGTTCACATCAACTAACTGAACAAAGACATGCGCTAAGCTGAATAAGGAAGGAACACCAGGGTTAGCTGCCTTTACAGTTAGATCAAAAGATGTCTGGTGTCGTTCATAGTCAAAACTGGTCAATGTAGTGATTGTTCCATGTTGAGAGTCAATTGCAAACTTGTCAACTTGACCAGCAGCAACTGCGTAGACAATGTGTCCATTCTTACCCGAATCAGCATCAGTTGCATTCACACTAAGGACTATGGTTCCTATTTCTGAATTCTCAGTTAGAGAAGCCACAAACTCTGAACTTGCAAAGATCGGTGCATTATCATTGACATCTATAACTCCCACTGTTACATTCAACAAAACACTTCTGGACACCCATCCCCCATCCTTGGCTATAACCTGGAGTTCATAATGTTTTTCCTTTTCAAAGTCAAGCTTGCTGGTAAGTGTAATCAGCCCAGTCATCTCTCCGATAGAAAATGGAAAGTAATGTTTGTGAAGATAATACATAATGGCTCCATTGAAACCAGCATCACCATCTTCTGCTTGGCATTTCCCAATGACAGATCCTTCAGGCAAATCTTCAGGAACTGAGAAAATTACATGACTGTCTCTAAAGCTGGGAGAAAATTGGTTCTTGCCAGTTATTTCCAACATTAGGCTTTTTTCTGAAAATAATTGTGGGACGCCAGTATCTTTGGCCATGACTGACAACATTAGGATAGAATTAACAGGAAAGGACAAACTGTTAATCAGTTTGAGCCAGCCGTTGCTTGGGTGAATCTCAAAATAATTTGTTCCATTTTCTTGGATCAAAACATACTGAATATTGGTGCTACTGTTAATTCCGTCCTCATCTACAGCCTCAAACTGAAACACGTCCAGTCCTACAGGTAGATCATACGGGATGGCTATCAAAGATGGCATGGGCAAAAACTTTGGTGGATGTTGGTTACGTTTTTTAACCATGATGGACACGGTAACATTACTGTATAACAGAGGTTTGCCACAATCAGAGGCTGTCACTTGGAAATAATAGTCCAGACCTTGGCTCAGTGCCTGTTTTGTAAAAATTGTCCCGTTGGTCAAACTAACCCAGAACTCCTCACTTGGTGGTTCTATAACATACAGCATTTGACCGTTAAGTCCTATGTCAGCATCAGTGGCTTGTACTTGTCCAACAAATATGTTTGTATCATTGGTTTCTGGAATGGTTATCGCATAGAACAGTTCAGAAAATACTGGTCTATTATCATTCACATCTGTAATAACAATACTGACGTCAGTGCTTGTACTCCACAAGGAATCGTTTGCACTGACTTTAATGTTGTAATGATCTTGTGACTCTCGATCTAAATATCCATTAACGGTGATGTAGCCAGTTGAAAAATCAATGGCGAATGGCAAATTAGGATTATTATCAGTTATAGAATAAGTAATTATAGACGAATCTGCATCGTCATCATCGACTGCGCTGACGTGCAAAGCGATATGTCCAATAGGAGCATTCTCTGGGACCTCAGAAATAAAAACATGTGTAAAACGAGGAGCATTATCATTTCTATCCAATATGGTTACTATTACTGTGGCTTTATTTGTGTTATTTGGATTATACCACTCCATAGCTTCAACAGTCAGATTTAATTCAGGACTGTACTCTCGATCCAAAGACATTGTTGTGCTCAAGAATCCGTTCTCGGGGTTGATCATGAAAAAGAGGTCAGAGTTTCCTTCAGTTATGTTGTACTGGACAGTTCCATAGAGTCCCGAATCTGCGTCAATGGCGAGGATATCACAAACTAAAGTCGGTGAGGAGTTTTCAAAAACCTCACACCTATATTCCATTTGAGTAAACAGTGGAATATTGTCGTTCACATCAGTTATATTAAAGTGTATTTCTTCAAAGGATGAGTAAGGAGGAGAGCCAGAATCTCGAGCTTCAATCGACAGGGTGAAGTCTTTTTTCATTTCAAAATCAAGACTCTTTTGCAAAGTGAGAATCCCATATTGTTGATCGATTTGAAAGATCTCCTCCGAGTTACCTGAGGCCAAATAAAACATAACCGACTCAACTCTGGAGCTGAAACCAGTGACCATGGCAACTACCGACCCCACCGGCTCGTCTTCAGCCAGAGATGGACTTACGACGTCTACATGCATCACGGGAAAATCCGAGGTGTTGCGAAATAGAATTGTTACGGTTGTCATCTCAAACTTTGGACTCTCCCCGGCATCTTCAACGTAGACGTGTAGTGTAATTTCTTCAGTTGATGTTAGAGGAGCGGATATGAACACTGCACCGCTGTGAGCATCGATGGAAAACGCATCTGTAGATGGTTGATACAAAGAGTAACGGAGCTCTGCGTTCATGTCTGCGTCTGCGTCGTTTGCTAAAGCGACACACACCACCATTCCTGACAAAAACATTAAACAGAAAACAACATTACCCAAAAGATCAAATAAAGATTCAATTTGTTTTCACAGGATGATTAAACATTTGCTTGTTGTCTATGTGTAGTGTTTAGACCAATGTTAATCTTGAATTAACACTAAAACAGCAAGGACCATTTTACATCCTGCTTTATATTCAACATCTGCTGGCACACAACTTTGATTTATATGATGTATTTATTACTTATTCATTTTTATTTCAGGCACAAAGGTTGATAGACATTAAAATAGACAGGACAGGTGCAAACAACACTCTCTTGCTGTAAGGAAACAATGTCTCGGAATATTGTAAGATGTGGCATTGAGACAAATGGATTACATGATATCTACACATGTTGCACATAGTATATGCCAAAACATTGTGGGATTTTTTTCTATGGATTGTATTGTTTTTTTGTTTTTTTTAAATAGTACTTGATTTATGTGTTTTTTGTGTTTCCATTTCTGTAAATAGTTAAGCTTGAATATAAATGTGAAGAAAAAAAAGATCAAGGGAAGTTTAACCCCTGTAACTGTAATTCACAGTCTGAAAATAAAGAGTGAGAAAACATCCAATTCAAGACAATGGGTAACAAATAGAATAATTAGCCAGTGCTATTGTTTAACATGGAAATTGGAGCTGGACTACCTGACTTCATAAATGGTAATTGTGTTTTTCCCAACAGAAAGAGTCTTGTAAAAGTGTAATCTTGTAAAAACAAATCTGCAACATGCTTCATCTTATTAGATGGGCTGAGTGAGGGGGGTCCTCTATTTTGACTTTTCTGTCTTAAAAATCCAAAAAATTCAGAAAGTAGTGATGGAACGAGTTACATGGACTAAATCTGTGGTGGTACATGGTGTCATTCCCCACCTTCAAAAATGGTTGAAAGTAAGGCACCCCAGCTTTAAATTTCTACATTGTATTGTGAATAGAACGTTCTTTCTCTGTAATCTGACCTTGTTCCATCTCAGTGGGCATGTAGATCACAAATGAGCTGTTCAAAAACTGGGGCTGGTTGTCATTCACGTCTCCAATCAGCACGGTCACTAACACAGAGCTGGACAGAGGCGCAGTTGGATGTTGGTCTTTGGCGATCACTGTCACTCTGTATTCAGCTACAGCCTCTCTGTCCAGGACATCTGTGGTGAAGAGCTCCCCAGATTCTTCTTCTATGGCGAAGGGGTCATCCACACTCTCTAATGAATACCTAATCAGAGCAAGGCAAGGTATTGTAATGTATTAAATAAATGAATACATAATTATTGAAGTTTATACAGCCAAAATGTAGAATATTACGAAAACTAGCATTTACCTTATCTTACCATTTTCACCATGATCTTTGTCAGAGGCTATGATCATGGCAAACACTGTTCCCTTTGGACTATCTTCTGAAATAATAGTGTGAAAATCCTCCTCAGTGAATTCCGGGGGGTTATCATTAACATCATCCACTTCCACATGTACAGTCAGCGTCCCTGTCAGTGGTGGGTTGCCTTCAAATAAGAATAGATGTATTAGTTTGCATGGTACAATTTCTTTCAAAGGGTTACCTGAATCCACAGCAGTGATGACAACTTTATAGGAAGACTCTTTCTCTCTGTCTAAGCTGTTGGAAATGTGTAGCTCCCCGTTGGGACTGATGGAGAACAGGTCTTTGTTATCTGTCTGAATGAAGTAAGTCAATTCACTGTTCAGGCCGATATCGTCATCCTGGGCACGAATCTGGAGATCCAACAGAAAGTCACAAGTCAACAAACATTCACATTTTGTATATTATTTTCAGATTTTTCATCCTGACATTTTCAAAAAAGAATGAACAGAATTTGTTTCCTTGCCATTCACCCCCTGCATGCCCAAAGGTTAAAACAAAATAAAATAGAACTAAGATAAAAAAGTTAATGACAGGAAAGAATAATACAGACCAAAAATACAATAATAATAATAATAAAACACTATAAAAATTGGCTTTTCTTTATATTTTGAAAATTTGTCAAAAAGTTGTAAAATATTCAACATGTCATTGGCTATTGCTATTAACTATAACTATTTTTTTTTTTTTTAGTTTGAATACATTTTGATTACATTTTAATTTCACTTAAGCACTAAAATGATGTGGCTTTTCAAATAAAGTACTCTAAAGAACTGTTTGTCTTTCTAAATATTTTCCAACATCACCAAATTCCTCTGACTTGAATACCTGCTTTTACCTCAAGACTCAGTTGAGTTGCGTTTTCATTCTCCGTCACATGTTCGGTCACTACATCTGGCAGAAACACTGGTGTACAGTCGTTCACATCCAGAACTGTTATGTTGAGTGTAGCAGTTGACTCCATGGAGGGGTTTCCAAGATCCAAAGCTTTTAGAATGAACGCATAATTCGATGTGATTTCTCTGTCCAGTTGGACCATCACGATGACGTCGCCTTGAACCGAATCCACCAGAAACGGACTGGCTTGGTCGAGCCTGTACCTCACTTTGCCGTTCTTTCCAAGGTCTTGATCATGAGCTTGAACTTGAATTATTCTTGTTCCAGGTATTACGTCTTCCATTATATCCAAGCTATATATTTGTTTTGTAAATACAGGCGTGTGGTCATTGGAATCTTCAACAAGGACAGTGAAATTCATTGTTGAACTTAATCGCGGCGATCCGTTATCTACCGCAGCAACAGAAATCGTGAGCTTGTCTAGGTTCTCTCGGTCCAGTTTTTCTTGAAGAGAGATGATCCCACTTTTGTTGTCAATGCTAAAAATTCCACCAGAACTATTTGTCAAGAAGTACCAGACCTCTCCGTTGGGGCCGCTGTCTGGGTCTTGGGCGTATACAGTCATCAGGGTAGTATTGAGTTCACAGTCCTCCGATACACTCACTATTGGAGAGATATACAAAAAATGTGGTGGGTTGTCGTTGGTGTCTTCCACTGTTATAGCAACGAATGCGGTGCTGGTGAATCGTAAAGATGGTGGTTGAGCGCAGTCATTGGCCGTTACTGTCAGGTTGTAAAAAGACTGTCTCTCTCGGTCTAAATCGGATCGCAGGCACAAGTTTCCAGACGGATTTATGAAGAATATTCCATCCTCATCCCCACTTAGAATGTTCAAGTTTAATTGTCCGTTTGTGTCTGCAAAGAAAAACAATGAACATAGGAATGGGTGGTAAAAAATTGTATATATGTTGGTATATTTTCAGATAGTTATTGTCATTATATCTAGAAAATAAACAGAATTGGAATATTTCTTGACCTGCGAAAAGCGTTTGACACCATTAATCATAACCTTTTCAATTTTAATTATCAAGTTAGAAAGATACACAACATAACATTGTTGTGCACCACACTATATATACTTTATATAAATGATAGAACTGTGTCTAAGGCCCAAAAATTGGTTGGATTTGCTGATGATACTAAGGTTTTTGTTCTGGGAGTATGATTCACGTATTAGTCTAAGAAATAAATAATGAATTGAAGAAAATTCAAATATGGTTTGATAGAAACAAATGTTTTAACTTAGGAAATAACAACGTCCATATTATTTTGGGAATCAGAGAACCAGGGATGAAATGGAAATTCAAGTTGATGATAAAATAATTGAACACATAAAAAAAGGAGTAATGATAGATAATAAATCCATGTCTGATTTTTTTTATTGTTGATTGAAGAGATGTGCCCAGAGTCAGGATGTAACATGGACATGCAGTGGTTCAGATCTACGCAGAGCTGAAATATAGAGCAGTCTTCTTAAGGTTGTGAGACGGGCCTCTACCCTGACCATGTTCAAAACTAGATTGTTTAGCATATACACATATCTGTTTAGCTGTGCGTACATCTGATTCTATTATTTTTACTATTTATCCCTTTATAAAACCCACATTTTAACAAGAGTTGTAAGCCCAATACTTTTATACTACTCTACTTTAATAAAAAATGATTGTCTGTTGAAATATCTATTTTATTTTTAATTTTTGCTGCTACTGGACACCTGAATTTCTTCTACGGGGATCAATAAAGTATCTTTCTATCCATCTATAAATCTCCTTTCCTTTTTGTTTTTGTATGCATTTCATTCTGTGTTTTGAAATTGCTCTGGTGAAGCACTTTGAATTGCTTTGTACCTGAATTGTGGTTTACAACTCTTTGATTGATTGATTGATTGACTGAAATACCTGCATCTTTATCAGACACATTCAGCGTTAGAAAACAGGCGCCAGTCCACATGTTTTCTTGCAGAGACAGAGAAACAACGTCCCGGCTGAAGAGAGGGGGATTGTCGTTGACATCTAGCACGTTGAAGTACACCCGGATACTGGTGACCGAGTCCAGCCTCATCTGCGCCCCCACGGTCAGAATGAATAAGCTCTGTGTCTCAAAATCCAGGCCACGGGACAAAAGGAACTCCCCAGAGAGCGGGCTGAGAAGGAACAAGTTTTGCCCGTCGTCCTCCAGCACTGAGAATGTGATAGGTGTGGGACTCTGTGGACCCTCCAGCTGTCCCACCACGGTACCTGTCCAGACAAGAGAGAAGAAGGTGTTAGGTGCAACAAGGGGATCAGCCCAAGTCCATGTTCATGTCTCATTCTTGTCAATTAAAGCTTGGGTTCCTAACTTTCAAACCATAAATGTAACAGTATTCTAACATGTTTCAAGCTCTCAAAACCGTTTGCTTCTACCACTAGTTTTCACAAGCTTGTATTTGGTCTCTAATATAAAGATGAAGATGGTGTGTTTTTGTCTGATTTGTTCACAATATTTAACATTTAGACTTTCTTTTGGGTTGTGTTGGGTTGGGTTGTTTTTTTTCAGTACAGCTTCTTTTTTTTTTACTATAAATGCTCTCTTGTTTGGATTCTCAAAAGCAGTGATTTTCAAACTGGGGTCCGGGAAATGGGCGTCTCCGGCTTTTAACTTGCTGTCCTGGTGGTTATTGGTTGACTGGGTGTGGGCGTTGCTGGTATTGATGATGAGTCGAGGAAGAGCAGCCTGTGGCCTGGCAGCAGCAGCCGGGTCTACCACGGTGAACTTTCGCGAAAGCTCCATATGTGTTTCTGCGAGGACATCAGTGCTCACAGGGACAAGATGAACAGGAGGTATTATTTATTATTATTTATTATTGCATGGTCGTCGGAACACATGAGATCCGTGTCCCCTGGTCCCTAAACGCTGAGCTGCACTTATTGAACGCAGATCCCTCTCAGAATATTTTTGCAGTGGTTACAGTCAGTGTGCAGCTCTTTCAGTGGAGTATTTGTAGACAACTTCGCACTTTTCAGGAAGTGACATATTACTCATCGCCCGGACGGCGTGCATCCCAACCATGGATCTGTAATAATACCTGGATAGGGTATTACTAGCTTAAAGCTGTCCCACCCATGGCAAGGCAAGGCAAGTTTATTTGTATAGCACAATTCATACACAAGGCAACTCAAAGTGCTGAACAAGATAGCATTAAAATCATAAATAATCACAGAACATTAAAAAGAAAGATAAAAATATAAAATCCCTCAGTTGTATGCACAGCTAAACAGCACCGTTTTTAACCTGGTTTTAAACATTGTCAGAGAGGAGGCTTGTCTCACATCTTCAGGAAGATTGTTCCAGATTTTAGCAGCATGAATCTGAAAAGCAGCCTCCCCATGTTTAGTTCTGACTCTGGGCACTAACAGGAGTCCAGTCCCTGTGCTCCTCAGAGTCCGGGCTGGTTCATATGGGACTAACATGTCACTAATATATTTTTGTGCGAGGCCATGGAGAGACTTATACACAAGCAGAGCTGTTTTAAAGTCTATTCTCTGAGCCACAGGAAGCCAGTGCAGAGACCTGAGGACCGGACTAATATGGTCGTACTGCAGCTGTTTTACAGCCTGTTTGGACAGACCTGTGAGCAGGCCATTGCAGTAGTCTAACCTACTGGAGACAAATGCATGGATAAGAATCTCCAAGTCTGCTTTAGACACTATGTTTTTGATCCTGCCAATGTTTTTTAGATGGTAAAAACCCATGGGCACAGGGGGCGCCCGTGGTACTGCAGACTAAATTCACGAGGGCTACCCAGAAAAAAGTCCCATAGAACAGGGGTGCTCACACTTTTTCAGCATGCGAGCTACTTATAAAAGGATCAAGTCAAAATGATCTACCTACTACAAAAATGCAAACCATATATTTATTTCAAAAAATATTCTTTATCTACAATGTATGTTTATGTACATGCAAAACCGCATGAGCCAATATAGCACAACACAACACAATTACCTATGTACATTTTTTGTCATTACCCGAGTTTACTCTTATGACTTGCACTGAATTGAATCGGCCAGGGAGGCATAGTCCGGAAAATTGGTGGTAACTCGCTGACAAGTTTGTCGTGGTTTAGCTTTCCTGCACTGAGCGCGTTGTTTGCGCATGTGCAGTCACCTAAGTGTCAGTAAAACATTACTGAGTAAAACACACATGTGCAGTCACCTAAGTGTCAGTAAAACATTACTGAGTAAAACACAGATGTGCAGTCACCTAAGTGTCAGTGAAACATTACTGAGTAAAACACAGATGTGCAGTCACCTAAGTGTCAGTAAAACATTACTGAGTAAAACACACATGTGCAGTCACCTAAGCAGTGGCGGCTGGTGGAATTTTCTACTGGGGGGGCTATGAATATGATGACTAGATATATACCAACAGTAAGTAAGTTTACACTGACTGTTGTGACTGAAGCCTCACACGAGAATGAAATATTTATCTTCCCAAACATAGCTAATTTGAGGGCATTTTGCATGTGGATACCAGTCTGCTCATGCTTCTTTGCCTTTTCTAAAAAGTGCTTCAGATCAGTCATACCTGTCTTGATCCATGCTGGGTCAGATCCTGATGTTTGAAACAAGAGGCATGGAAAGCAAAATAAAGCATTAGCCTTGTGCCGCTTTGTGACTTTGGTCTGTGAAAGGCGGTATATAAATAAAGCTTACTTACTTACTTACTTACTTACTATTAGCCTCGCTACATGCTGCTAGCCAAGATTTGGCGCTGAACCAGGTCCTGGAAAAAGTACGAGTGTACCGTCTCCCCCTGTCGCTGGACTGCTGACTAATGGTAATATTTGGCTGATCAGGTCCAAGCTCTTTAACCTCAACCTTTTCCTGGTATGATCTTCTCTCAAACGGTATTGTTTTGAGTGATCTAACTGAATTATTCTTTTTCTCGTTCTCCATTTTGCGTCTCTTTACGTTCGTCTCAAACTCCCACAGCTTGACCTGTCAATCACTGTAAACGGACGTCACAGACAGTGACAGTACAGGTCGCGGGCGATCCCGCCCCCTCAGGGCGCACTTCTCCTGCGCCCCCAAATCGTCTTATCTCTTGCATTGAAGAGGAGCTACTGCGCATGTACAACTTTTAACGAGAGTCCATAGACGGCTCAGGGCGCAATCTTTTGCGCCCTGAGGCGGAAATACGTCCTCAGTCCGACACAGACAACGCTGATGAGCTTAATCAATCCAACTCAGCATAAACTATAAAGTATTTCTTCCACATCTGAAATAAAACACACATACATTTCGAAATATTTTAATGTTATTCTTTTTTTTAACGTTTTATTCAAGGTAACATGGCAAGTTGTGAGTGGTGGGGCGGCGCCCTAGCGCCCTCTATTGGCCGGCCGCCACTGCACCTAAGTGTCAGTGAAACATTACTGAGTAAAACACAGATGTGCAGTCACCTAAGTGTCAGTAAAACATTACTGAGTAAAACACACATGTGCAGTCACCCAAGTGTCAGTAAAACATTACTGAGTAAAACACAGATGTCATTTGACTGTGGTGCCATGTCCATGTGCCATGCCTGTTTTTTTTAAATCCAAATATTTCCCCTCCTCAGTTTATAAAATAATTTGCATCCAAACATCTGCGTTATCAATCACATTCGTAACATTCCAAACATGTGCGTCTCTTACGTCCTGTCCTGCGTTGGGGAAAAACACAGAAGTGGGCGGAGCTTTGATGCAGACGCCGGTAACGGCACTTTTACAGTCATAGAAGACACTCAGAGTAAAGACGTATGTTTACAAGCACTGACCCCGTCCTCAGCCCTGGTTTAGTCCTGGTTTAGTCCTGGTTTAGTCCTTAGCCCTAGTCCTGAGTCCCTGCGATCACTTTGCTGCTCTCTGATGTGGAGCGAGGATGTTCGCTGCTGCAGCATCTCACAGCGAACAGTTTTTAAGGTAGTATGATCCATGCTTTAGTGATCAGAGGAATTTAGGGGGGTACTGTGGCGTGCGAGAACGCAAAACTCCGGTTATCTCTGTCTACACACAAATGCATTAACGGAGTTTTCAAAAATCTCCACTTTGCCCGGAGTTTTTTGTATATATTCGTTTAGAATGTGTATTTATTTATTTATTTGATGCGATCTACCAATACTACCTTTGCGATCGACTGGTAGATCGCGATCGACGTATTGAGCACCCCTGCCATAGAACTTAATGTACTGTATATTAAAACAGCACGACCTCAGCTGACAGAGAACCTACAGCTTTCATAAAGATCGGATTTTGTGGGGATTTTAGTGTCCCTTGTCATCCTGAACTTTTTTTCTTCTTAAATTCTTCAGTTTTCTTTAAATCCACACTTTACTGCCACAAACTGTGCGCCTTGCCTTCCCGCTCTGGCTCCGCTCTTCCGCTGCTCTGATGATCAGCTCTGATTGGTCAGAGCGTGGCCGAGCCCCTCTGTGCGTGTGCATGAAAGCCACACACGCACGTTTGGCGCGACGCGTTATGGGAGATATCTCCTATAATGCGTTGCGCTAATCCACTGTGCAGAACCGGGAGGACCAGACGATGCCCAAATATAGGCGAGTTCAGCTAATCTCCCGGTCTCCATGAAGTCCCATGCGCTACTGAGCACAAGCCATTCATTTGAATAGGGGGCCATCTTGGATCGCCGGGGCTTGATCCCAACAAGTATGGCACCAGATTGTTAATGAACTATTTACGTCACATACAGCAATGGACCCCTAAAAGAAAGTGACTTGTTGCCCCCGCCCTCAGAGTGTCTCCCTTCTTACTCACCAGTTTGAAAGCAACTGATTCATGTCCAAAAGAATTTGGAATGAGAAACTGCCACGATGATGTGCGCAAATGACTCAATGTTGTGGAGGCTGAACTAATAATTTTGAGAACTTTAAGTCTGATGTGAAAAATTCACCAAAGCGACTGAGAAAAACTGGAAACAGCAATGACTACCGTCTGTTTTTTGTGCGTGTGACAAGCGAGCTGTCAATCACAGCCCAGACCACGCCCAGCTCTTCCTGTCCCTTGGTCCCTTGGTCACAGGTGTTTAGTCGCTCATTAAAATATCTCATACTCAAATGTTGATGATGAGTCCTTGAAAAGATTGCCCTTGGAACCAAGGTTGAACCAAAGTTCTAAGGTGCCGCAGGGCCGAGTGGAAACGCCGTATATCAAACCTCCTGAAACGTCATAAAGTATGAGATGTTCTTCTCTTAAGTTATAGAAGACTGCGGTAACTCGCGTGGTCTGTTTACAACAATAAACAGACTAACAAATCCTCCAGTTCTGCTGCCAACAAACTTTATTTCAGTATTTAAGTGTAACAAGTTTGAAAAATATTTTGATACAAAAGTGCAAGGGATTAAAAGTGCACTTTATTGAACCCCACAGGGCAATTCATCCCCTGCATTTGACCCAGTGGTCGCCATTGTAACAGGGTCCAGGAACCCATCTCCAGATGTTGATGCTCGGCTTGGTCAGGACTGCAGGAGCTGGAAGATTTAACCTAGTGTGCATGTTTTTAGCGATAGGAGTACTTGGAGGAAACCTACGCAAGCACAGGGAGAACATGTAAACTCCACTTAGAAAGACCCAGTTCCGACCGGGATTCGAACCCAGGACCTTCCTGCTAAGAGGCTAAGAGTGCTATCCACTTAGCCACCGTGCCCCCTTTAAAGAGTTCTCATCAAACTGAATGTTGGACAATCTGAAATATTTAAACCCTCAGAGCTAATGACTTCCCCCCTCAGTATTCCTTATTCTTTTCTACTCTTTCTACTTTCTGTCTTTATTAAAGTAAAGATAGAGATTTTATATTAGTATATAGAGTTGTCCTATACTTACTATTCACTGATCTTATTTTGTGTTTGTGTCCTCCTCATTCAAACTGTTCTGTAATTCATGATGCAATGGCTCTCTTAATCCTAATCTTAATATTAATAACAAAACAAGTAAAGTACATGAAGCTCTTGCCCCCCATGTATATATTTAAATAAACTGGAACTATCCGTGCATTTCCACAATCAAAGTTGAAGTCATCATTTCGGCCACTGTCCCTTGACGACGAAGACTCCATATAAAGTGTGAAGAGCGTCCACCTCCCACTCAGAGCTGCCGGAGTGCGTCAACTGCCAGAAGACTTTACCGTCATTGGTGGGTGGCACACCAAGAACCTATAAATATAGATTCAAGTGACGTTTTCTGGCACTTTTTTTGAATCATTGTTGAATCATTTTTACCTGTTTTTTAAGAATCTCCCTGAGGCTGCAATGTCCACTCTCTGTACATGGCTGTTATCTTAGTCACAGATTTGGATTATTTTATAGCAAACATCGATGCTTGAGTTAAATGTTGAATGAATGCGTGTGTATATGTTCTGTTATTGTCCTGTGGAGGTTTTGCAAATGTGGATTTACAGGTGAAACTCGGAAAAGAAGAATATTGTTCAAATGTCAATTTATGTATGCAATTTAACTTGCAATGTGAAACCAATATATGATATGTAGACACATTACATGCAAAGTTTTATTGATATAATTGTGACGATTAAATATTCCAATTTTCTGAGATGTTTTATGTGGGGTTTTTACAGCGGTTTGCCAATTATTATAACAAATAAAGGCTTAATATATCCCACTTTGCGCTTAATGAGTCTATCATATTGGTTTCACATTGTAAGCAGAATTACATAGGTAAATGAAAAATTCTAATTCTCAGTGTTTCACCTGGAATGTCACAAAGAGCTGAAAAACATTGAGTATAATTGTTAGGTCTGTGTTTCACGTAATGTAATATATTTGTGATTCATTTTTGTTTAATTCAAATTTGTGGATACATTGGTTTAGCCCTAGTTTCATCTGGATTAATGGTGAGTACCTAACCTTTTTATTCATAAATAATAAGTTTGTTTGTTTGTCCCAAAAGAGAGAGACATCAACATGCTGTCTCCTGCTTATTAGAAAACATTGTTTGCATATTGTAAGAAAGAGCCCTGTGAGTCACTGTTTGACCTGATTGGCCGTGTGAATCTGATCCTTTTTCTGTCTGAAAGAGCTGATCTTAATTGGTGACAGAGGGAGAAGATACATGTGAAAAGTTATGATAGAACTAAACTGGTTTGAGCGCGAGGGACGGGTTAGATGGATTTCATGACATAGTTCGCATTTAGAGTTTGAAAGAATAGGTATCTCAGCTTTACGTCCATGTTAAAGTTGTCTGTGATGCGAAAAATTGTTTTGAGAGCGAGGGACAAGTTTGATGGATTTTATAATACATAGTTCTCATGTTTGTGGTTTGAAAGTTAGGAACCTCTGCTTTAAGTCTATTCTAAAGTTAGTTAAAGTGCCAAAAGTGATGATTTTTAAATAAGTCAAAAAATGTATGTTAATTTGAGCTCATCTTATCTGCCTTAAAACTAGATTTGCCGGTGGGACATGAAAAATTATCCTGTTTTAAAAAGATCCAAGAAATGTCTCCCTTGGAATGAGAAAATGAAGCAACAAGACTAAATGGCTTGTCCCATTGGTAAATTTTGTTTTAAGACCAGCCGGAATGTACTAAAATTCATATGAAAGCTACTTGATTCAAGCAATATTACCTCATATTTGGCATGATGTGTGTTGATGTGAGCGTACGAGCAATATGAATCTTTGCTCCTCTTTCAGAACCGCTCCCAACGACATGAACCCCAACACCTCTATACTGGACGACTTCTTGGAGATCCAGGGCTTCCACATCGCCCCCGCTTACAGGTACCCCCTCTTCTTCTGCCTGCTGCTGGTCTACTCCTCCCTGCTCCTGTCCAACCTGGGCGTCCTGTCGCTCATCTTCAGCGACCGCTCCCTGCACCAGCCCATGTTCCTCCTCTTCTGCAACCTCCCCATCAACGACCTCATCGGCAACACCGTCCTGCTCCCCCGCCTCATGATGCACATCGTCAGCGGAGAGAGACACATCAGCTACCGCCAGTGCGTGGTCCAGGCCTTCTATAGCCACACCTTCGGCTCCGCCTCGCATCTGACTCTCCTGATCATGGCCGTGGACCGCTACGTCGCCATCTGCCACCCCTTGCATTACAGCACGGTCATGACCAGCCGAACGGTCACCGGGCTTTCGCTGATGGCCTGGGGCGCCTCCGTGGTCTTGGTTTCGGTTCTGATCAGCCTCACGGTGCGGCTCTCGCGCTGCAGGAACGTGATCCAGAGCGCGTACTGTGACAATGCGTCGCTGTTTAAGCTTTCGTGCGATGACGTGTCCGTGAACAATATCTACGGCCTGTTTTTCACCGTGCTGCTTTTCACGTGTTCCATCGGGGGTATAGCCATCACGTATATTCGCATCGCGCTGTTGTGTTGGATTAGAAAGAATAAAGAGCTGAACAGGCGCGCGGTGCAGACGTGCGCGAGTCACCTGGTACTCTACCTGATCATGTTGTGTACAGGTTTTCTCACCATAATTCTGCACAGGTTTCCAGAGCAGCCCTATCTGAGGCAGCTTGCACATGTCCTGTTCCACGTGGTCCCTGCTAATTTGAATCCTATCATATATGGACTTCAGACCAAGTTGTTACGAGATAAAATTCTTTATTATGTGCAAAGGAAAGTGTGGCCAAACTGAAAGATTGCAAAGTTTCTATTGTACGATGTATCCTGTATATGTGTAATGTATGTTAGGAAGTGCAACAGCATTCTCATGAAAGGAATAAATACAAATTAAATGAAATTAAATGTCAAATGTGATGAAGAGGAGAGATGTATAATAATAATGCATCGGTTTTATATAGCGCTTTTTTGGACACTCAAAGACGCTTCACATGTGTCATTATTCATTCACTCCATACACGGTGGTGATAAACTACTACTGTAGCCACAGCTGCCCTGGGGCACACTGGCAGAAGTGAGGCAACCATGCGCCATCGGCCCCTCCAACCACCACCAACCATTCACACACACACCAGACTCATTCTAGGCAATGGGGGTGAATGTCTTGCCTAAGGACACAACGGCCGTTTGGCACTTTACAGCCGCAGCCGCCCCACTGTGGCTGGTGTTCCCAGAGGTTAAGTGTCTTGCCAAGGACACAACGACAGTAGTCAGTGGGAGTCGATGGTGAAAGTCTTGAGCGGGGCTTGAACCCACGACCTTCTGGCTCAAAGGCCAACGCTCTACCAACTGAGCTACTGCCGCCCTATATAAAGTGTACTTCATGAAACCCGTGTATAGACAATTACATACTGTAGGGCTACTGAAGTAAGTAAGTAAGAAAGTAATCTTTATTTATATAGTGCATTTCAAAGACCAAGGTCACAATTTTTGTTCTTCCAGTCATTTTCCATTCACTCCTCACACAGTGATGAGAAAAGCGAGACGCCGAACACACCGGTGCATCATAGCCTCAAACCATTGTCATCCGTCACTCTCTCATTACATTCAGAACTATTGTTTTTAGTGGTAGGGAAAACCGGAGCACCTGGAGGAAACAAATGCAGACACAGGGAGAACATGCAAACTCCATACATAAAGGCCCTGTCTGGAGGTAGAATTGGATCCAGGACTTTCTTGCTGTGCCACAGTGTAGGAAGTGCCCTGTTGTGTCTTGTAAATATGAAAGTTAGATATTAGTTATTTTTTTAAAGGAACACATAAGTACATTTCATATGTTATTTATAAGGGATGCAATGTCCTTGCATAATACTAATTATGACTAATCATTTAAATATTGTGTGTTTGTTGATGGAATCATTATTCAGAACTTTGATGTTGAAATGTTGTCATAAGGGAAATACAATAGTGATTACATCTATGAGAATAATAAACCAGCACTTTAAATGTCTCATTCATACAATCAGCAAATTTAATAAAACAAGATTAATGTATAAAAATGTCATTGTTTCAGTATTGAATTAGCAATAGCTGATAATGCTTTAATAATTATGCACTAGACTTTAACCATACAAAATCTTTAGCATGCACAATTATTTTATCATTATTATTATCATTTGATTGAATTTGTTTATTTGTATGTATTTGTTATGTATTTTATGTATTTGTTTTAAGACCCCCATTAGTCTCCAGCAGAGGAGGGACTTTTCTTCCTCTTTCAACCATCTCAAGCAAACTTTGTATTTCAACATAAAAGTCTTGAACACACTACAAAGTCTGCTATAGTCCTGCTGACACCACTGTTTGGTCAGATGACCTTCCCCATGATCAGCAGGCTCATGAGGAAGACCATGATGAAGAAGAGCCACATGAAGAAGCGGTCCAATACTTTGGCCACCTTCTTCCACTCGCCAGTGCGCCTCTGCGTGGCTCTCTGGTCACGGTAACAGTTGGCCATGTACTCTATGTTCCTCAGCAGCTGGTTGTCCGCACACTGGCCACTGCAGCAGGCTTCCTGTTTCTCCCCGTCGCTCACCCCTCCCTTCCTGCACCTCTGCGGCTCCAGGTCTCCACAGTCCATGCTCATGAAGACGCCGTTCCTCCAGGCGCTGAAGTTATTGGTGGGTTTTATCCCCACAGAGCTCAGCGGACTCCGCACGTGGTAAGCTTCCTCGGGCTCCTCGGGCTGCTCCGGACACCTCTCGACTCTGATGATGTCGTCCTCGCAGCCTGGTGGGGCCTGGCCGTTGGGAGTGCAGTTATTGTTTTTGACGGGGGGAATGTCTGGTTTTTCGGGTTGAGGAGACATGCAGTTCTCGCCAACCTCGTAGACAAAGCACATGCGGGCTAAGTACTGCAGGATGACCGTCTTGGCCCATTTGGGGACGGGCTTGGCATCGGGGCCACAGTGGTGGATGTTCATGATGAAGATGGTCAGAGCAGTGGAGGCTGTGATCATCGTCATGGTTGCGATGTAGTACTTTCCTGAGGACAAATAAATGGATAAAGTTAATACAAAGACAAATTATTATTTTATTGATATGAAGGATTTAAATTTGTCACAAAATGTTTGTTAAAACTTGAGCTGCCCCTTTACGATACATTCAGACCGAAAACGCCTTGCGTTTTCAAAGCTCTGTCTCTCATAGAGATGGGAGCGGGGTTGCCATACAGGAGGCCAGAACTATTGCAAATGTTTTTGGTGGTAGGGGAAACCGGAGTACCCAGAGGAAACCTACGCAGACACGGTGAGAACATACAACATCCACTCAGAAAGGCCCTGTTCAGACAGGGATTGTATGATGTATTTATTTATTAGGATTGCCCCTTGAGATGTTTTTTTTTTTTTTTTTTTTTGCTGAATCCTCTATGATTAAGGAGACAACCAGAAAAGCATAAGGGCAAAACACATACATTTCTTAATAGTTTGTGTAAGCCCTCAGTCGTACAGGGATTAGTCAAAGCAAAGGAAGGTTTCTCACCCATCATCTGTACTTCTTAGCAATTTTCCCGACGTTTCGTCCTCAACCTAGCGGACTTCTTCAGGGAATGAATTCTCGGACCGCGCGTTGGAGATTTATAACCTATGGGTGTGGTTAGCCACACCCTAATCCTGATACTAACTCATAAACAATCTACGGTCTGCTTGATGTAGAAGGGAGCAGGTCTAACGACCCTGCTGAGGCTAACAACCCTAACTCCTTAGCATGTCACAGACCTATTGTCTGCTGGGATGCTCAAGTGGAGTGCAGGTCTCACCCCTCCTGACTCATTAGCATGTCACTGACCTTGTCCCAAGTTAGGGCGTTGTTTTTAGGATGTCGTCATAGATGCGAGGCAAAACAAATCTTAACCCTCCTCCTCTGTTAAGAGAAGGTTTTTGTTTCCTCACAAAAATGGCTTCTTTCACCCCTCTCTCAAACCAATTCTTCTCCCGAGCCAGAATTTTAACCTCTGTGTCATCCACCGTGTGGTTGGAGGCCTTGAGGTGGAGATGAACAGCCGACTGTGGCCCACTAGAGTTTTCTCTACGATGTTGGTAAAGTCGTTTCTGTAGAGTTTGTTTGGTTTCTCCAATATAGTGGTCAGTGCACTCCTCTTCACTACATTTAATTGAATACACCACATTGCTCTGTTTGTGTCTGGGTGTTTTGTCTTTGGGATGCACTAATTTCTGTCTTAACGTGTTGAAAGGTTTGAAATACACAGGGATTTTGTGTTGCCTAAAGATTCTTTGTAGTTTCTCTGAAACTCCCGCCACATACGGTAAGGACACCCCTCTCCTCCTACTTTCTTCTGTCTGTAGGACTGTGTCTCTGGCCTTTCTCGTCCTTTGGGCTTTAGTAAAAGACCACTTGGGGTAGCCACATCTGGAAAGTGCTCTCTGAACATGTTTGGTTTCTCTGTTCTTTCCCTCCGAGCTAGTGGGGACCTGGTGGGCTCGGTGTTGAAGCGTTCTAATGACCCCGAGTTTGTGTTGTAGCGGATGATTCGAATCAAAGGCCAGGTACTGGTCAGTGTGAGTGGACTTTCTGAAGACCTCAGTCTCTAATTGTCCGTTCTCCAGTATGATGACCTTACAATCTAGAAAGGCGAGTTCACTCTCCTTAGCATCCTCGCGAGTGAAATTTATAAAAGGGTCCACCGAGTTAATGTGTGCTGAAAATGGTTCCACTTCCTGTTTCTTTAACTTAACCCATGTATCGTCTACATATCGAAACCAATGGCTTGGCGCTGTCCCTTGGTAAGAGCCCAGGGCTTGTTCCTCCAGTTTCTCCATATACAGATTGGCCACTATCGGAGAGACTGGGGAGCCCATCGCACAGCCATGAAAGCATTAGAAACAGGCCAGTTGGCAAGGAAAATACAACAAAACTACTGTTTGAAGATTCTCAATTTAAGAATTCGACGACTTAACATAGAGATTATAAACCTAAAGGACAAGATAGAGGGCCTTAAGCACAAACTGGAATTGGCAGTCTCACCAGAGTTTTTTCAGAGGATTTGGACGTTTACGGAAACTGCCCAACTGAACCATCACAAGAAGGCCAAAGAACGTCAGGTAGGCAAATTTCTAAAACTCCAAACCCATAATTCTTTTCAACATTCTAAAAGTGAAATTGGACAAGGTTTGGACAGGGAGAATTGGGTCAAAAATCTGTCTGATCGGCATTTATCACAAGCGGAAAAAGATGTTCTTACCAAAGGCCTAAATTTTGCAATAACCCCAAAAGATATTCCTACAATTGAATACATCACAGCAGCAGAAGCAGCCATTAGAAACAACAAACTAACTGAGAGTGAGGCAGGGGCCCTCAGACTGAGAGTCTCTGCCACACTCAAAAGTGCGAAGCCCCCACAATCCAATGTCTCATTAGATGAGCAAAAAGCATTATTGGCATTACAAAAGGATGAGAATATAACTATTTTACCAGCTGACAAAGGCAGATGCACAGTTATCCTCAACAGCTCAAACTATGAGGCCAAAGTTAATCAGTTACTCTTGGACACCAACACGTACCAGCCATTGAAGAGGGACCCTACCAGTGGGTTTAGGAAAAAGATTATAGACTTCCTTCAGAACTTAATGAAAGAGGGCATTATTGAAAAACCACTATATTACAAACTTTACCCAGGAGACACCATCCCCAGTATTTATGGCCTCCCAAAAATACACAAACAAAACTTTCCACTTCGGCCTATTGTATGTAGCATAGACTCTATCACCTACAACCTGGCTAAACACCTCAAAACCATTCTGGCTCCTTTGGTGGGTAACACCCACCATCACATAGAAAACACAAAAGAATTTGTAAATAAAATCAAACACCTCCAGTTTGACACAGATGAGACAATGGTCTCGTTTGATGTGACATCGCTTTTTACGTCGGTCCCTATTACAGAGGCGGTGGAGGCTGTAAGAGAAAGCCTACAGAAAGACGCCACACTAGGGGGGAGAACAAAACTAACAGCTGACCACATCTGTGAAATACTTGAAATGTGTCTTAACACCACGTATTTCCAATTTAGAGGCACCTTCTTTAGACAGATTCATGGCTGTGCGATGGGCTCCCCAGTCTCTCCGATAGTGGCCAATCTGTATATGGAGAAACTGGAGGAACAAGCCCTGGGCTCTTACCAAGGGACAGCGCCAAGCCATTGGTTTCGATATGTAGACGATACATGGGTTAAGTTAAAGAAACAGGAAGTGGAACCATTTTCAGCACACATTAACTCGGTGGACCCTTTTATAAATTTCACTCGCGAGGATGCTAAGGAGAGTGAACTCGCCTTTCTAGATTGTAAGGTCATCATACTGGAGAACGGACAATTAGAGACTGAGGTCTTCAGAAAGTCCACTCACACTGACCAGTACCTGGCCTTTGATTCGAATCATCCGCTACAACACAAACTCGGGGTCATTAGAACGCTTCAACACCGAGCCCACCAGGTCCCCACTAGCTCGGAGGGAAAGAACAGAGAAACCAAACATGTTCAGAGAGCACTTTCCAGATGTGGCTACCCCAAGTGGTCTTTTACTAAAGCCCAAAGGACGAGAAAGGCCAGAGACACAGTCCTACAGACAGAAGAAAGTAGGAGGAGAGGGGTGTCCTTACCGTATGTGGCGGGAGTTTCAGAGAAACTACAAAGAATCTTTAGGCAACACAAAATCCCTGTGTATTTCAAACCTTTCAACACGTTAAGACAGAAATTAGTGCATCCCAAAGACAAAACACCCAGACACAAACAGAGCAATGTGGTGTATTCAATTAAATGTAGTGAAGAGGAGTGCACTGACCACTATATTGGAGAAACCAAACAAACTCTACAGAAACGACTTCGTAGAGAAAACTCTAGTGGGCCACAGTCGGCTGTTCATCTCCACCTCAAGGCCTCCAACCACACGGTGGATGACACAGAGGTTAAAATTCTGGCTCGGGAGAAGAATTGGTTTGAGAGAGGGGTGAAAGAAGCCATTTTTGTGAGGAAACAAAAACCTTCTCTTAACAGAGGAGGAGGGTTAAGATTTGTTTTGCCTCGCATCTATGACGACATCCTAAAAACAACGCCCTAACTTGGGACAAGGTCAGTGACATGCTAATGAGTTAGGAGGGGTGAAACCTGCACTCCACTTGAGCATCCCAGCAGACAATAGGTCTGTGACATGCTAAGGAGTTAGGGTTGTTAGCCTCAGCAGGGTCGTTAGACCTGCTCCCCGTCTACATCAAGCAGACCTGAGATTGTTTACGAGTTAGTATCAGGATTAGGGTGTGGCTTACCACACCCATAGGTTATAAATCTCCAACGCGCGGTCCGAGAATTCATTCCCTGAAGAAGTCCCCAGGTTGAGGACGAAACGTCGGGAAAACTTGCTAAGAAGTACAGATGATGGGTGAGAAACCTTCCTTTGCTTATATTGGAGAAACCAAACAAACTCTACAGAAACGACTTTACCAACATCGTAGAGAAAACTCTAGTAGGCCACAGTCGGCTGTTCATCTCCACCTCAAGGCCTCCAACCACACGGTGGATGACACAGAGGTTAAAATTCTGGCTCGGGAGAAGAATTGGTTTGAGAGAGGGGTGAAAGAAGCCATTTTTGTGAGGAAACAAAAACCTTCTCTTAACAGAGGAGGAGGGTTAAGATTTGTTTTGCCTCGCATCTATGACGACATCCTAAAAACAACGCCCTAACTTGGGACAAGGTCAGTGACATGCTAATGAGTTAGGAGGGGTGAGACCTGCACTCCACTTGAGCATCCCAGCAGACAATAGGTCTGTGACATGCTAAGGAGTTAGGGTCGTTAGCCTCAGCAGGGTCGTTAGACCTGCTCCCTTCTACATCAAGCAGACCTTAGATTGTTTACGAGTTAGTATCAGGATTAGGGTGTGGTAAGCCAGGGATTAGGGTGTGGTAAGGTTATAAATCTCCAACGCGCGGTCCGAGAATTCATTCCCTGAAGAAGTCCGCTAGGTTGAGGACGAAACGTCGGGAAAACTTGCTAAGAAGTACAGATGATGGGTGAGAAACCTTCCTTTGCTTTTACATTTCTTAATACGTATCTTACCAATGAGAGGCACGTTCTCTGACGGCGGCATGATCTCTGCGACCAACAGCTGGAAGACAGTGAGCGCCAACATGACCGTGACCCCCAAAGATACCTTCTCTCCGGAGTCGGCCGGGAGGTAGAAGCCCAGCGGAGCCAGGAAGGAGATCATAACACAGGGGATGAGCAGGTTGAAGACGTAGAACGAGGCTCTTCTCTTGAGTTTCAGGGTGTAGGTGATATCTGGGTACGGCTCTGCACAACAGCCGTATACTATCACGTTCTTTTTACAAGGCATTCCCAGAACTTCCCACTCCACGTTTTCTACCAAGTCTGCCAGGTCTGCGCTATCCATGCCGTTGACCAGGTCCAGCTGGTTGCCGTTGTAGGTCCAGGAGCCGTAGGTAAAGCGACACTGCTGAGCGTCAAATGGGAAGAAGGACACGTCCACCTTACAGGAGCTTTTGGTGATGGCCGGAGAGTCCCATGTGATCTGGCCGTCATGCTGGATGACCACGTTGGTGTCCATGGGGCCGATGAAGTGGTCGTCAGCACTGCAGCACAAAACATTTCTGTCAGTATGTTTTCACCTCCAAAGGATGGGAGCCAAGGTCTAAGGGCACAAATTCACCAGCTGAGAGAAAGCTTGGGGCATCCCCTCAGATCTGTCTGCTTCCAAAAACCCTCCTGACAAACAAACTAGATCTGGGTTGGGTTTCCATGTAAGATGTAGATTAAGCATGAGGTGTGTAGAGCTGTGTCCATGGTTGTAAAACTGTTGAGACTGAATTCAGGTTCTTCTGAAATGATTCACATTTGATGAGGTTGAGGTTGTAAACAATTCTAATCATCTACAGGCGAGTCATATATGAATTTTGTGCCATAATCACTCCTAAATGTTGGTGTAGTCAAACAAAGTCAATGACAAAATTAAAGAGGTTCTGAGTTTTGGCAGAGATTAAGTTGGCTGGATGACACAAAATGTATGTTTATTATTGCATGGCAAATTTAGCGTTTACAATGCAGAGGGCCACAAAATAAAAAAACATAGAGGGCCACAATGGGCCTTAGTTTGGACATGCCTGGTCTAGAGGTATGAAAGTATGTATGGGTAGCGTGTTCTTTGGATGCAACTCTGCATTCATTTTCCTCCAAACACAGAAGGTTGAATTGTTACCAAAAGGTTCTATTTTGTTGACTGACTGTAGCACATTTCTAGATCATCCAAAATTAATTGATAATGTACTAGTCTTTTTTTAAAGGTGCTTAAAGTTGGTGGAGAAGGGGTGAAGAGACATACAGTATATCCATGAAATGTACATATACAAGAATAATTCACAATGAAGTTTCTGGAATGTTTAAAAATATGACCAATGAAATGAAACTATAGCTAGTTCTTTGTTGGGGAGGTTAAAGAAAGCAGACTGTGACCCAAACACTCCCAGTGTAATGCCGTGTGGAAGTGTTTGGCTTGTGTCCTTTTTCCAGGCCTCCATCACCAGATCAACCCAATACCAGTCCGACCTACTTGTTATATAGGACTATATCAGGTCTCCATACATAACTACTAGGTATACGGATGGTATCGAGCCCATCATACTCATCTTTGTCCCATCTGAGGTGAGCATCTTCCCACACTCGACGGATCCACAAGTATGCAGTGAGAATTTGGTTCCTCTCATCCTGTAAGAGGTGACATCTGGGTGTGTTGGAATAGCGTGGGCATGGGACTGTATGGGTCAGTGTTTTACCATGTCGATGATCTGGGAGAGGGTCACCTGCAGCGTCACGTTCATCACCCTGTCCGTGTCCTCCACCGGCCGAAGGGCACTGCTGTAGTTGTCGAACAAATCTTTAAGAAGCTTCTGAGCGAATTTTCCATTAGCACAAAGACAGGCTATATGGTACACAGAAAAACAGTGAAGGAAAAGTACAGTATTCTAACATGCTATTCTAACTTATAATGCATATACAAACAATATGACATGTTTCAAATAAAGTGAAGAGAAGTGCTTTGCTCAAAGAAACTGCGATGATAGTGGTGGAACCATTATTGAACATTTGGAGTGGACTAATCTAGTGCTGATGTCACCGTAGCGTTTGCAGAATGGAGAAGAAGCCGTTTTGAACATTACTCAACCAAATTCCTTATATGGGCATCTAGCATTGTAGCAAGTGTCGATGCAAACTAACGTGTTGCTAATATGGTTGCTAAGGCAAGCAGGAGTTTCCTATCTGAATGAAGGCATCTGATTGGTCAATCCTTATGACTTTATCTAGATTTCAATCAAATCAAATCAAAATAACTTTATTAATCCGTGAGGAACTTCATTTACAGACGAAGCACCAGTGAGGGTACACAAAAACACAGAAGCACACAATCTAAGCATAAATAAAGTGAAAGAGCAGAAATGCAATATAAAATACATAAAACAAGTCTCGGATCAGCTGTTTAAAAGGCGAATTGAGGTTGGGAGGAAGCTGGATGTGGCCCTTTTTGTTTTGAATGGGAGGGACCTGAACCTACGCCCTGATCTGCCATGAGCAGACTGTAGTGTGAGTGCAGAGTGTGGGAGCTGTCTGTGGATATCTGGGAGCCTTTCCTTAAAACTTTGTTATTGTAGTGAGTCTTGCTGCTGTCCAATAATTTTTCTGCTGATTTTAATGATCTTAATGAGTGACTTCCGATGTATGAGACTGAGTGAACCAAACCAAGCTGTGATGTTGAAAGTGAGAATTGATTAAAAATACAGTATCAAAATAGGAACACCAGGATCATAACGAGCACTAAACCACATATTTCTAAAGCCCAAAATGGTGAGAGTGACATGAACAGTTACTGAACGAGAAGAGTTTACTTTTCTGTGCAAGTCAAAAGGAGCCAGAGCGAGTCGGAGCAAAACTGTCAATGAGGACTTCCCTAATGGGCATCATTGAGCTTTTATACATGTATATCTACTGTATCTATATACAGTCTATGTTTTGAATATACCTATACCACATATGAGCACATCGTACTCTATCATGGACAATGGACAACAACAATCATTTCAAACTTGAATTAGAATACAATCCATGTATGTGCAATGAGTTTTCACTAAAATATTGAGATTTTGAAATATGAACTTGTGTTTTCTATTTGGACTCTTTTGTGGTAGTCTTCTCTGATGCTAAAGCTGTCCATTCTTTTTAGCAAAAAGCCTACAGTTTCTGGACTGCCTTGAATAAAGCACACATCTGGGGTCTTTATTTGACAATATATGGCTTCATACAGCGCATAAAAATGACTGAAAAATAATTATCATTCATAATCCCCAAAATGTGGTCAAAAATACTTTCTCTTTCTGGAAGTGGAAACTTTAAAGCACAACTGTTTATCTTAAAAGATTCTGTAAATCACATTTGTTGCATCCTCTCTCATTTTACAATTTTCTCCAATTTTGTGGAAGGATATACATGAATGTACATTTATTTTACTGAAATACAAATTTTGTATCCGACTGAGTGTCTTGGATAGGACCCTACAAAACCAGAGACCAGGCAGAAACCTACATTTACCAAACAATTACAACCCTTTGAAATACAACAAAAAAACACCCAATAGACATTGGTCTTTACTGTTCAATGATGTCCATTCATGTTAATAAATGTTAATAAATGTTCATAAATGTTCATAAATGTTCATAAATGTCCCCTGTCATGTTTGGAGCTTGTTTACATCACTCTTTATGCTTACACGCATACTGTAGATTTTAACCTGATTAAAAAAGAACACTGAGACATGATAGTGACAGATGGTATTCGGGACAAAGGCCGTTTCTGCAAAGCCCAAGCAAATCTGTGTATAGTGCAGCTGTGTGTGTGCATGTGTGTGTGTGTGTGTGTGTGTGTGTGTGTTTGGGGGCTACTCTGTGTGCGATAATCCCAACAGCATCTGATTGTGCAGACAAGAGCTGTCCATTGCAACATGTGTCCAGACCATGTGATGGCATTGCTTTGTCTATCGTTACCATTCAGGCTGACACTGTTTGTTTGCTGTAATCTCATGCAAATTTTATTCTCAGGAAAATATTAAAGCTGGGTATCTACATTTCAAACTGTAGTAATAGAACAATGTAATGCAACTCAATACAAGTCCCTCGCTCTCAAAACAATGTGGCTCTATCACTAGTTTTCACAAGCACTAATCTTTAGATCAACTTTTCAGACAGAAAAGTTAAGAATAGAAGTCCACTCTTGCTCAGCCAATCAGCTCTCAACCTAAAGAGTCAAATAGTGTTTCACAAGGCCTTGCTTACGATTACACAAAAGATTTTCCACTAAGTTAAAGACTTCTGTTGGGACAAAAATAATGATTTAGGCAAGGTATTTACCCCATATTCGCATAATTCAAATATCTTCAAAAGTATCCTTCCCCTGGGTTGGATTGTTAAATACCGCGCATGAATAGGTCATGATTTCACAGTTATTAAAAAACAACAAAAGTACAGCTACTTACTTTGACATACAGAGACAAACACAAGGCACTTGAACCAGCCCGCAGCACTGCTCGACTTCATCTTGTTCTAACATCGATAACAGAATGGACCCTGACTGACACTGAACCCAGCTGCTAATCCGCGGGAAACAGCAAAACAGCAGTGGGTGTGGCCGTGGGGGCAGATCAGCACCATGGACAGCGCAAGGGTATCTATTGCTATTAAATCACGTGTAGGCAAGGATTTATCCTTATACGGCCTCATATCTCCAGTTCTTCTTGTAGTTTTTAAATCTACAACCAACTCATACCAGACGTTTACTCCAAACACAGGAATACAATGGACTTTATAATTGTGGACTTTTATTTATTCATTTATTTATAAAACATGACCTTCTCAGCAGATGGGCAAGGCAAGTTTATTTGTATAGCACAATTCATAACACAAGGCAATTCAAGGTGCTGAGCAAAACAAGATAGTATTGAAATCATAAATAATCACAGAACATTAAAAATAAAGATACAAATTTAAAATCCCTCAGTTGTATGCACAGCTAAACAGAACCGTTTTTAACCTGGTTTTAAACATTGTCAGAGAGGAGGCCTGTCTCACACTTTCAGGAAGATTGTTCCAGATTTTAGCAGCATGAATCTGAAAAGCAGCCTCCCCATGTTTAGTTCTGACTCTGGGCACTAACAGGAGTCCAGTCCCTGTGCTCCTCAGAGTCCGGGCTGGTTCATATGGTACTAACATGTCACTAATATATTTAGGTGCGAGGCCATGGAGAGTCTTGTACACAAGCAGAGCTGTTTTAAAGTCTATTCTCTGAGCCACAGGAAGCCAGTGCAGAGACCTGAGAACTGGACTAATGTGGTCGTACTTCCTGGTTCTAGTCAGGACTCGAGCTGCTGCATTTTGAATGTACTGCAGCTGTTTTACAGCCTGTTTGGACAGACCTGTGAGCAGGCCATTGCAATAGTCTAACCTACTGGAGACAAATGCATGGATTAGAATCTCCAAGTCTGCTTTAGACACTATGTTTTTGACCCTGGCAATGTTTTTAAATGGTAAAAAGCTGCTGATGTTACTGATTTAATGTGGCTATTAAAATTTAAGTCTGAGTCCAGTAATACCCCTAGATTTCTGACCTTGTTTGAAGGTTTTAGGGAGAGAGACTGTAAGTGACAGATGACGCTCTCTCTTTGTTTCTAGGGACCAAAAACAATCATTTCAGTTTTGTCTGGAAATTACAGATCGACAGCCTCCCTCTTCTGTAACAGGTTCTGAATCAGGATATAGAGTTGGGCTTACATATAATACATGGGCTTGCATAGACAACATGCAAGATAAAAGAAAGGAAGTGAAAACGGTCATTTTTGATCGCCTTCATTTGGATATCTTCTATACGCGTGGATTTGGAGCGCGCGGCTACAAATACGTGTTCTCATCGCTGGACACCCACCCGTGACGTCACCGCGGTCTTTCCGGTTGCGGATTGCCCGTTTGTGGTCCTGATGCTGAGGCTGCTGTGACCCAGAGCCGTTCCGGGGTTCGCGGCGTTTGCGAGGACGAGGATGACCGTGGGCAGCAGCTGATTGAAGGTATAACCCGGGGCCCATTGCGCGAGAGATGCTTGGAGCCAAGTGCGTAATGCTAATTACGCCATACCTATACAATTGCCATGCACGACTATTCCTCTGTATCTAAATGAAAAGGAATATAATGCCAGTGCTGCTTGGCTGTTCTAATTGTGGTTTAAAGATGCTCATGTCTGAATATACAGCGTCGTCTTGAAATGCGGCTTTATAGCCAGTGCGTCCCGTTAAGACAATGGACCACTGTGTATTTGGTGGCTGTAAACAACATATTCATTGTGGCCCATCATGTTTTGCACACTAATTATAGCTACAGTATTCTATGACAATGAGAAAGTGGAGTGGGTTGCTCATTGGCCTTCACATGTTTACAGTTTGAGGACATCTCCCTGAATGACAATAGCACCATTTCCTGTATTCTGAATGAATGATACCTTTATTTAGCCAGGCTCCAGCCGACCTATAGCACCGCCTATACAATTTCAGCCCGCCGAAGGTTTTCCTTTATTATTCCCACAAAGGGCAAATTACAGGTCCATTTGAGATGTATTAGTATCCCTCATTTGACACACCAGTACCTTAAATATGTCAGATAAGATTATTTTCTCACCTATTTTATAATTAAACTGTTTCTGCAGTTCATGAATGCACACTGTCCATGTCAAACACATAAACACATACATACATGCATACATACATACAGTACATACACACGCGCACACATATACACACACACACGCATGCACACAGACAACGTGTGTATATACATAAATGAATAAACAATTTTTGGAATGGAGAAACTTGTAAATATGATTGGAAGCAGCCTACACAGCACTGTCTCTCTCCCTTCTCTCTGGATGTCTGGACTTGCATGTGAGAGTCTGGTTATGGTAAATCTCAGAAACAAAGCAGGGCAGGGCCTGGTTATATACATAACGATAACAGTCTAAAGGAGGATTTAAAGTGTTATTATATAAATGTGTCCTTAGGCAAGACACTTCACCCACATTGCTTAGTTTGGTGTTTGAGGGGCAACAGATTAGTAACATACCCCAGGGCACCTGTGGCTATAGTTGTATATTTTACACCATTAAACACAAAGTGAATGAATAAAGCCAAGCAAAACATTTTTGAGTGTCCAGAAAATGACTATATAACACAGATGCATTATTATCTTGCTTTCACTGCTTTCACTGCTGTCATTGCAGCGTGTGACGTCTAATCATTTGCCGTGGGCCAGCCCTGTTTGTAATAACTCTGTTATAGTGGGCTCTTTGTATCTATGTGATAATACATGACGTGTTGTCATGGTAATCTAATTATTATACACTCCATTTAGGTTCACTAAGTTAAACAACACTCTGCAGGCTACGACATCATTGGCTCAGACTAACCCATTGATTGTTTTGTTGCATATACCAGGGCTGGTCCTTCTACAGAAGATGCTGCAGGGTCCCCATGCGGCGGGGCCCGACAGGCCATTGTTGCGGTTCTCCTTCAGGTCTTGTGTGGTGGGGACCCTGTGCCTGCCACTACTGGGACTGCTCTCCTGTGTTTTCATCTCCTCTATGTACCACTTTGAGGACGCCACAGGGACACACTGCCACGTACGTCACTTTAACTTTAATTGTACATAAAAAACCTTTATTGCACAGAAGTTACTCTATATATTTTTACTTTTTTAAAGATGTTTGTACATTTCCTGTTGTTTGCACATTTGCTGTCATTTTTCACACCCACAGTGATTCTATTTTGCCAAATGTGACATGTACATTTCTCCATTGTGAGATCAATAAAGTGTATCTTCTAGTATTGCTTATAGAGATAGTCCCCCTGTTTATGCTTTCAGGACAGCTTATAGTCATAGATTGTTGCATGGCTGTTTCATAGATCAGTGGCTGTTTTCCAGGTTCCTAACTACCTGCCATCCATTAGTGCCTCCATCAGCCTCACTCCAGAGTGCCACATCTGGAGGGCCTGTATTGGGCTGCACTGGGGCCCCCGCGTCCTGGTGGAGTACAGTTACCTCAAACTGTACAGGGGCCGCTTCGGTGCCCGGTCTGTGGAGAGGTCCCTGAGCGCCTTAAGCCTCCTCTTCTCTGTGTGTGAGAACATGGGCCTGCTAATACTCACCTCTGTGTCCTCCACTGAGGCCTTCGGTAAGAGCTGTTCATCTGAACTTTAGTGTGATAAAGAGAATGGGTTTAGTCTGTGTTCTGTGCATTTACTCAAACAACTACAGGACAAACATGGTGTGTAACTTATCGTATACATGATATTGATCACACATTTATAATCATTTTTGAAAGTATTTGTAGTTTTTTTCATCTACTTGAAAATGTGTCAAGGCGACAAAACACTGACCACGTGAGACCTCAATGAGGTTACATTTCTGCAATTAGCAGAAAACTGTTGTGACGATGTAGTAGGTTCTGCTCATGCACAGCCTCATGTATCTTCTCTTCTCTTCTGATGCCTTTAGCCGTCCATAAGACCGGGTTCCTTCTGTTCATTGGGAGCTCTCTAGTCTACATGCTCATAACCTGCCGTTTGTGGAGTGCTATAAAGAAGCAGTCCTTTAGCCCTGAGGTTGGCCTCTTACACTTCTCTACACCCACGTTCTCAGCCCTAAGTCCTGACCTTCTCCATGTGTCTGTGTCACAGGACGCCAGGTCTTATCGCTGGAAGAAACGACTACTATTGGCCTGCTCCTTCTTCTGTGGTTTTGCTGGTTTCTTCTACTGGAAGCACAATGTGCACTGCCAATCTGGAGGTGAGACATGGGGATATATAGTACATATATAACACAAGTAAACACAGGCTTATAAAGTATTTATTTGATCCGCAACATTTCCTTTGGAGGTCCACCTTTAAATTAGCGTTTATGTGTTCCTTTACAGCATACACACTGTTCGCTCTCTTTGAGTATCTCCTGGTCTTCTCCAACATGGCCTTCCACCTCACGGCGGTGTGGGATTTCAGAGGCAAGGACATAGTGGTGGTGTCCTTGGAGGATAAACACTTCTGACTAGAATCTCCTGGAGCCCTCAGAAACAGCTGCAGTCGTGGGGAGGACATGGGCCCAGAGACGCAGGAGGACTGGGACGGCCTGTTCCACATATTCCCATAAAGCCTGTTCTACTGTATGTACAAAGACACTGCCAATCATGTTTGTGCTATAAAGTCCAGTGTTTAAATGTCACTGTGCTCTTTGAAGTTTTGATTAAAGCTTTTGTGTACATTTGTCTTTTGCCTTGTTAATTTAGGAAATCAATAATCAAACTGACCAGGTAAATCAGTCTGGGGGATTGAATATTTGAACATACTGTATATCCTGCATTGTTCTCTATAGTTCTGCAGTAAATGATACCAAAATGGCAGCATAGTGTACAGAATGTAATAGGGAGCAATGATTAGAGCAATAACCCCGAAAAGCATTACACAGGTGTCCTTTAATTATACCTGTTCCTAAACATGATCAAGATC